CCTATATAGTAGTATAGAACTGTGATGGGGAACTAACATTTCGTCGCTTAAATTGTATTCTTTTTGTGACAATGAGAGTTATTGAAATATTAAAAGAATAGCTTGTCTTTACTTCGTTTCAAGCTGCCGATTTGCTAATAATCAAGTTTTATTCTTTAGGACATTCAATGATGTTTAGAGCAAGGTAAATCTATGATAAATATGAGAATAGTTTCATTTAAGCTACAATGTCTTTCCGAAATATATAAAAAGGCTAAAAACGCAAGTTGGCGAAACCTAGACGAGCCTTCTGTATCCGTGTTGAGATTTCGTCACAAAGATAAGTGAAGCGGTCGATGCGTTCAACCCAATCCTGAAGTAACATTTTGCATTTCGAGGGGGAGAATCGCATCCCGAACATGCCTGCATTGTTGCTTATTGTGGTCAAAAGACTCCGCATTTTGTCAGCGTCTTCACCAAATAAAACGATGTCATCGGCGTATTTTAGGTCGACAAGTGAGTCTTTCGGTAAAACTTCAACTCCTGAAGATTTAGATGATGAAAGTGTTATCTCTAAAGGTATGTCAACGAATTTAAACAAGAATGGAGAGAGTGGGTAGCCCTGACGAACACCACTTGACGTAATCCATTCTGATGACAGTTCGCCATAAGCTCTAAATTGGCCAGTTGTGTTCCAGTAGAGAGCCTTTATGAGGTAAATGTACTTCTTTGATACTCCTTTCAGTGACAAACACTGCCACAGAACCTCATGATCAACAGAGTCAAATGCCACTTTAAGGTCGAGAAATACTTTCTTATAGACTGGCACAATCAGTGATTGGAACCAGTCCGATGGAATTACGTCCACTTCTCATATTCTACTTAAGACCTCAGTCAATCTCGCTGCTAATATTGGACCTCTCTCCTTAAAAATCTCAAGCGTAATCCTAATTTACACTAAGGTAAACAATGATTATATAATATGCATTGAAATAATAATAACAACTACGATCTTTCCTTAAACGAATCTGCTAAGTGTTCACTTCACAGCAGTTTTTATTTTCAAAAGCGAATGCTTTTAAATAGTTGTGTAAACAACATCAGATATTAAAATATACAATGAAATGAACTACATTTCGGAATATTCATGTTAACGTAATAATTAATAGTAAGTTACTGTTGTCAGATAGAAATCTAAATAGAAATGAAATAATGTTAGTGCTGAAAAAAACAATAACCCTATATATAAATGTTTATATAATATAAGTGAGTGATGCACCTATTACTTTTAAAAAAGTAATATTGTATCTTTATCTAATCAAGATCATATTATACATATAACATTTACGTTACTTTACTACTACACTACTACACTTGACGGAGAAGCTTTGGAGGATGTGGAAACCTTTACATATCTGGGCGGCATCATTGATGAACACGGTGGATCAGATGCAGATGTGAGGGCGAGGATCGGCAAAGCAAGAGCAGCATACTTACAACTGAAAAACATCTGGAGCTCAAAACAATTGTCAACCAACGCCAAGGTTAGAATTTTCAACACAAATGTCAAGACAGTTCTTCTGTATGGGGCGGAGACGTGGAGAAATACGAAAGCCATTATCCAGAAGATACAAGTGTTTATTAACAGCTGTCTACGCTAGATACTTCGGATCAGATGGCCAGACACTATCAGCAACAAGTTACTGTGGGAGACAACAAATCAGATTCCAGCCGAGGAAGAAATCAGGAAGAAGCGCTGGAAGTGGATTGGGCACACTTTGAGGAAATCACCCAATTGTGTCACAAGACAAGCCCTCACATGGAATCCTGAAGGTCAAAGGAGAAGAGGAAGACCAAAGAACACATTACGCCGAGAAATTGAGACAGACATGAGAAGAATGAACAAGAAGTGGAAAGAACTAGAAAAGAAGGCCCAGGACAGAGTGGGTTGGAGAAAGCTGGTCGGCGGCATATGTTCCATTGGGAGTAACAGGCGTAAGTAAGTAAGTAAGTACTACTATTTTAGTCCCAAAATAACAGACTTTTGAATTGGACTGTAAGATAACAAGGTTAAATGGTAAACACTAGTAGTTTCCAATGTTATCAAAATGGTTAGATTAGACAGGAGCATTTAATCAATTCGAAGTAACGGTATAATCGACTATGTAGAATATGATAAAAAAACATTCAATGTAGCATTGGTTATTAGTGTTGGCACCTTTTTATTTAACTGTGGATCAAAATGTGACTTTTTAATATCAATACAACCGTTTAAATATATATATATATATATATATATATATATATATATATATATATATATATAAGCTGAACATCTACCTTCTAGGGAAGCCAGTTTTTTCTCAATGACCCTTTTGTGAAAACGATTTTACTAGAATTCATTCACTGAGTGTCATTCATATATATATAAATTATCGGAAGAATCTTTCTAAAGCCTACAAGTGTTGTCTTCCGTTTTCATTGTTTCCTGAATGATGAAGCCTACATTGATAGTATGTATTATCAATAATTCTAAAGATAATAATAATAATAATAATAATTGAGGATTTCATGCATTTAAAGAAGAGATTGTTTATGTAAAGATATTCAGTTTTCTTTCTATACTTGTCAATCATCAAATAATAACCGTTTCAAACTGGTTTACCAGTTCCTTAGACATTTTAGTGAAAATAATTTTCAGTTAATCCCTTCTATAACTTGGTGATGAACTCTTTAATTTTTTTGGTATTGATAAAGAGAAAATCAATTATTGAGAAGAGCAAACGCCTTGAGAAAGATTTCATAAAATAATAAATTCATCTATAACCTAAAGTAAAACAGTCAACCATGCATATATATGTATCATCATGATAATTAATTTTTAATGTAACTGAATGAGCTCATTTGATTATTAGTAATTATTAGAAGGGGGTTTTGTGGAGATTTTAGTAATTATATATAGTTGAGATCATGAGTCAGTTGACCACCAGTGCTTCCAGCTTTTCCATGGTAGTCTAGTTTCAATTGACTCATGATCTCAACTATATTAGTAATTAACTTTATGTTGTTCAATATGCAGTGAATTCAATGTAATTAAAACACTCTGAATTCCTTTGAATGAATGAAGTATTGATTGTATTCAGTAGACTAGGAACGTTTGCAAATATTTTAAATCTTTTTTATGCTTACACTGATAATAATACTGTTCTACCTAATAAAGCGTCTAGGAATTATTGCGAACTTCAAAATGATTATGTTATCTGTGAGTCTCATGATAACCCATTACAAAATATGTGGTGATAAACAATTGAACCGTTAATTCAGTTTATTCAAAAAGTAATACGAATTCTAAAGGAAATAATATTAGATTTAATATAATGTTCAAACATTTATTATTCAGGTGAACCAGTTTTATTCAGTTAACAACTTCGTAACAAGGTATTTATTTAATTATACAGAGGTTATTACAATCAAACATTTCCGATTATACTAAAAATAAATTCACTTGGTATTGTTTGGTTGAATCTTCCCATTGATGTTTAGGACTGCAATTGATCAGTCCGTTATTGGCATATGTGCATATTGTGCGTATTGCCTCGACATAGCCTTAATTCACAAACATTATAAGCAAAGATGGATAGTGGCTATCAGTGGAAGCTGAGTGGATAACCCGATAGTGTTTGAAGTAAACGGTACTATGTTCCAAGGTGATCATCAACTCTGAGATGTAGGTACTTCCGGTTGACGAGTCCCAGATAGGACGAAACGCGCGTCCTGGATTCCACTGCTAGCTACTATAAATCTTATTATACTAAAAATTATTTGAATAATTCAACTATATTCACTGAAAATGAAGTCCGAAAATGTTTCGAGCCCCCTAATTCATCCAAATGTTTAGGACCTGATGGTATACCAAACTTCCTGTTTTCAAAATATGCTGAAGTTCAGTGTTTTCCATTCACGAGTATCTTTAATAGATCCTTCTTAACTAATCTCATAACGAAAATGTGGAGAAGTATAAAGATAATCCCTATACCTTAGAAAGCAATGACCAGTGGAGTTCAACCAGATCTGTTATGAGATATCAAATCACTGAAGGCAATGGTGGACGGTTGCTCGTGGATTGGTTGAAGTTAGACGATAACACCGTTGGATGCCAGCCTTCTCAGTGGTCTAGTGGTTAAGCGATTACGCGTGAGAGTGATAGGTCCTGGGTTGGAATCTTGTGAGGCGGAATCGTGGATGCGCGCTTCTGAGGAGTCCCATAATAGGACGAAATGGCCGTCCAGTGCTTTCAGATTTTCGATGGTGGTTTAGCTTCAATTGATTCATGATTTCAACTATAAAATTACTGAAAGCTCCACAATAACCCCTTCTTCAATTACTTACCTACAGAGGCGACAGTAGATCTTAGATAAAGACAAAATATCATTAAAAATGTCTTGTATTCAATATATATATCATGTGAGAAAACGTATCAGGCAAACACAGTATTTACCATTGAGAAGCAAGAAATAATAAAACCAATTATTGAAATCCAAAACAAAATAACGTTTTTTTCTGGAAAGTTAATAAACATGTTTGCAACCATAAAAACAAGGGTACAGAGTGGGAAATGCAGTTATTATATTTACAAATAACACATAATTTATGAAAATTCAATAAAGGAAGGAGAAAAGTAGATTTCAAAAGTTTCAGTATTCATAATGTTTTTATGTATCATGGTTACTAAGCAAAAAAGGAAAGAGAATAGACTTAAAGAATGCTTAATAACTTGAAGAAAATAACTTGGATTCAGATATGATTAAGTCTGTATAACTGTACACTTTCAATGAACAAAATAAGTACTATCATAAACTAATTGTAATTTGAATTCAATGTAGTTACAATATAAACAAAATGCACAATATCTGCCATTAGACAATATATAAGTGTATCGAACAAGATATATTATTATTACTTCAATTATCTCTTTACTGATAGGATTTATTAGCAAAGAAAATAGGCAACATAGTGAATTGATGAAAGATCAGTTAAAACCTGATTCACGGAAACAAAAACACTCCAGAATACTATAAAACCATTATCAAACTTCTGTAGATGTTAACAATTCTAAGTCTGTTGTAATATGAAATTCTAGATTTTCATCCCAATTTGACAAAGTGTCTTGGTCGTTGTTCTTAACAATGGTCATTGTAGAATTGTAGTTATTATACAATAAATCGGTATTTTTGTAAGGCGATGGGGATTGATGAATACTACCTTGTTTCGATAAATGTTTTGTATTTGTAATATGAGAATTTTCATTAACTTGAACTGTATCATTGTTAACATCATTATTATGAGATCCTGTTGGGTAAATATTTGATATTTGATTAACTGTGGTGTTACTTATTGATGTTTGGTTTACTTGACCGTTCAGAATCAAATGATCAGGTAATAAATTGAAATCGAAATCTTGTATAAGACGCTGTCCATTATGATTCACTGATGATTGATTATCATTATTAAGAGGTGAATACTAAACGAATAAGAAATGTGAAAAAAATTTACAATCGATGACGAATGATAACATTTATACTGTATATAATCGTAACCATAAACAAATTTTCACAATTAAAATCACAAACTGATCTTTTCTAGATCACTATTGAAAACCTGGAAGCACAGAATGTCTATTTCGACCTAATATAGAACTCCTTAGCTATGCGCACCTACGACTCTGTACATCAGAACTGAGGAGCCGCGGTTTCGAGAGTGAACATTTAATTTCTAAAGAAGTAGGCCAGAATACAATAGTGCTAATGCCTAACTTCAATCAATCCAAGATCTTGTGCAACTTTTCATACATCGCCCATTGTGGGTAACTGTGTCACAGATTGAACCCAATTGATAAAAGATTATCACTAAAACCCTGTGAGTTACATCTTGAAATCAGTCACTAGTGAGCACATGATTGTTATAAGTGTGGGGAGTTTATGAAAATTGTATTATATTGTATTATATTCAGAGACTAAAGTTTGTGAGTTCGATTGCCGTGTATATGCTCTTGGATGTGAACATCCGAGGCGTCTCATACTAGGACGAATTGATAGTCCACTACTTCCAAGTTTTCAGTGACGGTTTAGCTAAAACCGGTTTATGATTTCAACTGTGAGAATACTACAATTCCCGCAAATCTGTACTCATCCGTTAATTGTCTAAAGATTATAACTCTTACTTTAGAAATTGTCAAACAGAAGAACAAATAATTTAGAAATGACTGGTTGAATACATTTGAGGTGCTTAAAATGTTATTTTATACCTATAATTTGGCTATTTTTTAATACCTTCATTAAACCATAAATTTACAATTCATTCCTTTAGTACATTTCCAGAGTGTAATAAGAAGAGGAAGTTAGTCTGAAAAACAAAATGAATTTCCCTATAATTCCATATAGATATCAACATCCTATTAATCACTACAAATCCGTTTACAACCTTGTGTAAAACTAATAGATTATTACGAGACGGTGGAGAATGTGTATAGCTAAGGATTCAACTAAATATTATAAAGAGGAAACATGAAGAAAACCAGGAAAATTTAATGCCTGGCACACCAACCAAGCACCAATTAATAAACATTCCTTAATCAGACAAATCTATATGGTTAGAATTCAGATCAAGAGAGAAACAAAGAAAAACAAACATACAGATAAAGACCACTCAGGAATGAATAACAACCGACTAAAATACTTTTCAACAGAATAAGCTGTTAGTCAAATGTAAACACCTGTTTATGAACTACGTACTGCTAATCCTGTTTGGAAAAACAATAAAAGCTTCACAATTATACCGTTCAGTGCAGAAATCGTAACAGCTATATACTGTAATTTTAGAACTATATAGACATCTACTTTTGACAAATTTATTAAGACGATTTTCTAGTATGTTAATAAAAACGCTTTGTATATAGAAAATTGATCGGAGCTAGACATTAACATCGTTGGATGCCAACTCAGTAGTCTAAAGGTTAAGTGTTCGCATGAAAAACCAAATGTATTGCGTTTGAATCCCGCGTGCAGGAGCGTGGGTGCGCACTTCTGAAGAATCCCATTCTAGGACTAAACGGCCGTCTGGAGCTTCCAGGTTTTCAGTAGTGGTCTAGCTAAGATCGGCTTTTAGTTTCAACTGTGAAATACTACAATCTTCGCAAATCTCCATACGAAGAAATAATAAACAAATAATTTTTCAAATCAAACGTTATTATTTTACCTCCATTGGCAATGAATTCAATTCCATGTTTGTTTTAACTCTTTCAGACCTATTATAATCAGTGGCCATTGAATGTCTGTTTAAAGATTTTTTCTGTAAACTATTATACTTCATATAATTTGAATTTTCTGGTTCATAGGTACCTATATGTGATTTTGACATGATATAATTATCTCCGTTTGTATTCATCTGATAAAAATGCTGATTGCTATTGTGATTATTTAGGATGGTATCCGCCAAGTTGAAAAAAGCGTTAATATTACTTGGTGATGTATTATTGATGGGATTTATAAATTTTTGATAGACAGAATGATTTTGAGTTAATGAAAGTTCCACATCATAAGACTTTTGATCAAGATGCGTTTGCCCATTTTGGTGATTTGTATTCCATTGATATTCACTAGATGGTAAGGAATTAATAGTTTGGTTAAATGGTGTCACTGACTTATCAAATTTTAACGTTCTATTGGTATCTAATTTGTATAAGTTGTTCTGATTTAGCATTATGGATTCATTTTGTAAAGATGAGTAAGGGTAAGGTGCTGATATTTGATCAATGTATAGTTTGTTTGAATTGCATGGACTAGGTAAATTCTGGTTTAATAATATTTCATTATTCATAGAGTTACTTATGTCGGTAATCAACTGATTGTTTTGAAGTGAGTATGGTGATGAAAAATTGTAGGATGGAATAATTGGAACGTTGATTTCAGGATCTAAAAATATGTAAACACATAAAACCAGAAAGTTAACTGTTTGCAATTAATTTGTTCCTTAAATCAACACTTGTAAAGCATGAACAACAAAGAACTATGAGATACATTTAATTTATTTCATACCTCATAGTCTACTTCTTTCATGCAATGATTGTTTACATAAATGAAAGAATTTTATGGATCTATGGAATAAAGAATTTTACTCGTCACTGTTATTATTTGACACCTCCATTTTAAAAATATGTTTATAACCTATTTCTCATTTGATTTCTTTAACCTTTAAACTTTATTTGACATTCTCTTACCAGCCTGCCAACTTTTATTTAGAATATTAAAGATTCCCATTGTGAAAATTAGAACAACATATGTAAGCGAACAATTGATTTCAATTAGATCGTTATCAAACTTTACTCTAATATACATGAATATTTATACGATAAGTTACCTGAGTTAGCCTCTTCTATGTGTATTTACAAGTTCAGTTGCTCCTGTGGAGATAGCTATATCGGGCGTACTATAGGCAACTTAACCAACGAATGGGTGAACATCTACCAGCATGGTTTGGAAAGGGCCAGATAAAAACAATACGCAGTTCTATCTTGACACATCTAATTGATAGTGGTCATATTGTAGATAAATTGAAATCATTTCGAGTGATCTATCATATGCCTCCATCATTTCCCAACAGAATTCGTTCCCCTCTCCTTCATATAGCTGTAGCCATACGAATTCGTACATTTAGCCCCAATTTATGCATACAGAAGAAATTTGTAATCCCCCTATACCTTACATGGCCAGACAAAAGTTAACAAATGACATTATTATTAATGATCAGAGGGGGTTTTGTGGAGAATTTAGTATTTTCACAGTTGAAATCATTAGTCAATTGAAGCTAGACCACCATCGAAAACCTGGAAGCGCCCATAATAGGGCGAAACGGCCGTCCAGTGCTTCCAGGTTTTTCGATGGTGGTCTAGCTTCAATTGACTCATGATTTCAACTGTGAAAATTATTATTATTATTTAAATATCATTTTCAATATTGTTATCATTTGTTCGTAATTTTCCTCCTCTTTCCGTTTGTATTCTTCACTATCTAATTATTTACATACTTCTTAGAACGTAATGTTTTATGATGACTATTATAAGTCTACTTACCCACTTTTGACCTCCTATTTCCAATGTTTAACTATTGATAAGACTTTTGTTATCGTAATTTAATATTCTTACTACTATCGGTACACCTGTCTTCCCACTATCAACTTGTACTTTTAAATACTATGCTCGGTGACATATTCTGTTCCATTGTGAATATTGTCTTAAATTGCCATGTATATTAGAGTAAAGCCTGATGACGATCTAATTGACAGCAATTGTCCGCTTACATGTGTTGTTCTAACCTTTATTTATTTTAATCAATTTTTCATTTCTAATTTAGGGTCGTCAGTATTATAAATCGTCTTATTAGTTTGAAACTATTTAGTGAAATGTTTAATTTCAACTCTTCATGATAATTACTATCGTTCATGGTTTTTGTATTTTTTATGTAAAGGAAAGCGCGGTAGAGTTCGAACGCGAATTCCTTCCTTCCATATCAATAATATTCACCAGCTGACTAATGGCGGGAAAACGAACAAACTCTGAGTATGGATCGTAAAGTGGGACTGGATTTACATCGGCAAATGATATTGGTCCATGTCTAGTATATCCAAATTATTGTGATTTCAATGCAACAGGCGTCTTTAATATCTCAGAGGACTGGGCACTCACAGAAGCATACTAGAAAAGGAATAACATAGGCCGCAGGCCTTCTGTCCTTACTACACAAATCTAAATCTAAATCTGTTCTCGTCATTGTCTGTCCATCTCGTTTAGTTTATTTGCCAATTGATGAAACTTGCACGAATGTAAAAAAATTAAAATTATTCTTCACTTGTGAAATAAATGACTTTATGGATGTTACAGACAAATCTACATCTAAAAGTATTCCAAAGTTGTATTTTCGAAACATACTTCATAAACTTCTATTCTGATGTATAACAATTATTTATTTTGATGAAATCATTTAGTTAAATTTTAAAACTACCGTTACATTCATTTATGTTGGTTGTTTGAATTTTCCTATTGATGTTCAGGAATGCAATTGATCAGTACAGATTGCATCGATATTGCCTTAAGTCACGATGATCACTAGTAGAGTACATTTAGCCGACGAGTCTCAAATGGTATGAAACACGCGTCCTAGATTCCACTACTAATCACCGTCTATCTCTGCTTATAGTACCGTCACATATGACCTTTTTCAACTGTTACATAGCAAACCTCGTTATAATGTAGCCACTTTTTTGAGAGGTGTATACTAAAAACTGATATTTTTCATCCTCTATTCAAACATTTATTACAACTTGTATACATGTCAATTTGAATGGAACTTCTCTGTATAATGAGGCTTCAAACAGATTTATTGTCCAGATAATCAGGAATAGCCTCCGAATGCTCTGGTATGGTCGAGAGTGGGGAGAGTCCGCTCTCACGCTCGAAATGCTCTCACATGACCACGCGTATATAGCCTCTGTCAGGGAATTCCTACTCACTGCCGTCTCGTGGCACTACTGTTGTTTACGAAATTGAGAGGACGATAAGCGAATGTCCAGATCTTTAACCATGTTGGTGGACAAGGAAAGTCCACCTAGGGGAGTTGGAAAACCCTGATTCCAAACCAATGGTGTACATGGGCTCCAGTATCCTGAGGGAACGAATGGTGTATGAATCAATCGCTGGTCACCGGCTACCATGGGACTGCATCTCCTTACGATGCTCCACTGCCTTGTGAATCAGAAGTTTAGTTCAAAGGCTCCGGGTTTCACTCTCTAAGAAAACCACATCCTTCTGTTTGAGTACCCGGGCAGTATCACAGCCCTCACACAAATCTAATAAGATTTGTGTGGCGCATATATATTTGGTGCCCCTTCGTACAAATATTTATGTATTTAAATAAAAAAAGAAAATGATCAGGAATATATGCTGATAATAAATATGAATAATCCATTCAAATTTACGATCAGTTCGATCCTTTTTTATTCCGGATAACTTTTTATAATTAATTTAATTTTCTAATAGAAAAAGCTTAACAAGAATTATTAAACGGTGACCACTGAAGTAATTGACAATAGTGAAAGTGAGAACGATTTATGATAGTAAACTCTATTGCTTACCTAGTGCATTAAAATACCATTGGGATATAATTTTGGATATTTTATCCCACAATTTTTAATAATCTAATAACAGCGTATAATAACATTAAAACTTAATCAATATTTTTAGGTTCATTGGTGTTTCATTACCCTATGAGTCAAATAAATTTGGGGTGAAATATGTTGTGTACCACTAGTGTAAAATAATGTCTAAGTAAATTAATCAGGAAAACTTACATAATGACTGATTTGAATTAATTAATCCTTGACTTGTTATACAATTATTGTAATTTTGAGTAAAATCATCAAATCTTTCTACTTCACTTGTACTAACTGTTCTATTACTTGGAGCTTTACTACCAAGTGAACTATCTGTTTGAGCAATTAGAATTTCTGGACTTGTATTGTATAGGACGTCCCAATTATGATTATTTAAGACAAGATTAAAAGGATTTTGATTTTTGTGTAACATATTATTAGAGTTCTCAGTATAATGTATTCCTGTTGTTAATTCAACTGTTTCAGGTGATCTTGTATTATGAAAGGTTGAGTTAATCAAATTTGGATATTCACATATCTCACCATTTAGTTGGATATTATTATTCATTGTTTTTGTCAAATAGTTTGAATGATATAGTTTAAGTGCTAAACAACAATCATTCATAAAAGCATTAGATGAAGATACATTGGAATCAGATTTTTCAGTAACAAATGTTGATTTATTTAACTGTTGCCTTCTGTGTATATTCCATTTCAAAGTAATCAATAAAATGAAGATGATTGAAGTAGCGCATAATCCTAACATCATTATAAACCACCAATGATGATAAAATGGTGTTGCTATTGTTTTTACTAAATAAAATGAATAAGTGAATATTAAAGTTTTTTAAAAAAGGGATAATCAGTAAGATAGAACTATAATCACAATAAGAAAATAACAGCACGTAATGAGAGGACCTATCGTGTTCGATGAGAAATGTCAATGAATAATCTGATAATGTATTTAAAACGAGTATAAAAAATATAGGAAGATTTGATCACTGCCACAAGTTGGTCAATTCTGATATGCAGGTAAGAAAAAAGCATCTCATGACAATAAACAAAGCTTACAGTAATCTTCAGTTCACGAAGAAACCAATGAAGCAAAAGGTATGGATAGTTATTAGTCGATAATTAGACCCTTCTCAATTGAACAAAGACGTTCTGGAATAATTTCACGTAACACTGTACTTTGAAGATGAAATGGTTCATTTGTAATAATGTACTTAGTTACATACACCTATTACCTACTATCATCCTACATCCAGCTCTGCCCTGGACAAAACTTGCTTCGTATTACAGTTTGATAATTTCCTCAATGTGTGTCTTGTCAACTTCCAATATATTTTCTTAATTTCATCCTCAGATGGAAGTTCACTTGTTCCCTCTCACAGTAGGCTGTTGCTCATGGCTTCCAGTGAACCCAAATGAAGTAACTCCAGTAGATAATTGTTCACAAATACTTGTACTTTCTCAGTGATGGCTGTGGTAGTTCTCCACATTTCAACTCAGTACAATAGGACTGTCTTGATGTCCGTAATGAAGATTCTCATTTTGATATTTGTAGACAGATGTCTTGATTTCCATATGTTCTTCAACTGTATGAATTCTCCGCGTGCTTGTACAACCCTCAAATTTACGTCTTCATCGTATAGTCCTTATTCATTGATGATGCTGTCCAGTTATGTAAAAGAGTCCACATCTTTCAAAGATTCCCCATCAAGTGTGATTGCGTTGGTGCTCTCCGTTTTGTATTTGCGGATCTTGATTTTTCCCTTGTGTATGTTATGGCCTAGTGCTGCGAAGCCTTCTACTACATTAGTTGTCCTCATCTGAATTTGTTGGTGTGTATGGGTGAGAAGAGGTGGGTCATTCACTCGTCCAACTCATCTAGTTACATCCAACACGTACATTGTATTCCGTGATTCCCCTCACCCATCGAGGTCTTCATAATCCAGTCAATCACCAGAGGGAAGAGAAAGGGTGAGAGTAGGCAGCCTCGTCTGACACAGGTCCTCATATGGAATGTGTCTGTCAGCTGTCCTCCATGCAACACACTGCACTGTAGTCAGTCCATATGATATTGACGATCTTCTCAGATACATCATGGTGTCCAACAAGTTTCCATGAAGTTCTCCAATCTAGACTATTGAATGTCTTCTCATGATCAAGGGAGTTGATGTATAGTAACGAGTTCTATTCAATTGATTGTTCAACAATGATCCGTAATGTCGTGATTTGGTCTGTGCACGACCGATCCTCATGGAATCCGGTCTGTTGATATCGAAGTTGCAGGTCTACTCAATCTCTCATACGGTTCAGTAATACTCTGTTGAGAACTATTCCTGTTACTGACAGTAGTGTGATTCCTCTGTAGTTCTCACATTTGCTCATAACTCCTCTCTTCGCTATCTTGATGAGGTGTCTCTCTTTCCAGTTTGTCAGTGACACTTGTTCTTCCTCAAAAACTTTCTTCAATAAGATGTGAAACATGTTTGCAGTCACTTCTATGTCTGATTCCAGTGCTTCAGCTGGTATATTGTCAGTCGTGCTGCGTTCCCATTCTTCATTTGTCTGATATTCATCCTGTTTTCTTCGATCGTTGATGGAGTGACATCTATGTGAATGTCTGTGTGTGCTGATTCGATATCTAGTTGGTTCAGTGTGTCTGGTCTATTCAAGAATCCCTCGAAATCTTGTCTCATATTTCCTTTTTCTAATGCCGTTGCTGGATGTTCCACATATTTCTGATTATCAGCTCTAATTATCCCATTCGCTTGCCTTTTTGCTTCTGTGTATTCACTTTGTGCCTTGACGTTTTCCGCTCTTGTTTGGTTGTTGTGGTGATCTGAAACTAAATCCGATCTTCTCCCGATTCTCACGTCTTCCATTATCCTTCTTAATTTTTTACGGATAGAATGTGATCTCCTATATAGTTCTCCGTGGTATGGTCCAGTGAGACTGATGTAGATTTGTATATGCGTTTGTGTGGAAATATTGTGCCGCCTAAGACCAATTTGTTAAATGCACATAGATTTACAAATCTCTCACGACTTTTATTTCTATCTCCCAGTTTATGCCGTCTCATGATATCTCTATATCCGTTGTTGTGCATTCCAACTTTGGCGTTTAGGTCGCCAATCAGGATTGTCAGGTCATTTCTGAGCACTTCACTATGATTGACTGTAGCCTCTCGCAATAGAGCACAATAGAGCAATAGAGCATCTCTCCAAAATCTATCATCTGCTTTCCTGACTGGATACATTGGGTCTCAGTTTTTCCGAGAACCGACATGTTTTATCTCCTCATAAATATTGCGTTTCGACTGGTCTTCCTGATCTCCAACGTTGGTCGGACATTCCATATATCTAGAAAAATTGTTGGTGTGGTGTTTAAAAGGAGCAATAGCGTTGCGACGTCCAAAGTATGTCGGCTTTTAATTATGAGACATTACGATTCTTTTGAATAAAGATTCTTCAACTCGGAGGGTAGAGTTTAAATGGTTTAATTTGCATAATCTAGTTAGTGTTTTTTAGAAAGATTGTTTTCTACAGGATGAGGTTGCCGACCCCATGACCCACGCTTCTCCTTTGTGTGGGCTTGAGACCGGCAGTAACTGTAGAAGAACTATAAGAGAAGTTTTCTTCAAAATGCACTGTTCTTTCAACAATTTTAGGTCCAGAAATTTATTATTGATTTAAAAATCTCGAAAAGTTAATTCGGAAATGAATTAGTAGCCAAATTGAAAATGTAGTCAGTGTTGATTTGTTACAGATATAATTTCTAACAGTAACATATTTATAGCTCCAAGCAAAGATAACCAAACTCATCGGAAACTTGAGACAAGCTAGGAAAACTTTTAATTTAAATACCTAGCATTATTTAGGTAGAATTTCGTAACTTATAACATCATACTACATGAGAATCCGTATCACGTCTTTGATACATAGCTTAGGACTTGCTGAGAAATTGACGAACCATTTATGTATTTGTCCAGGTTTTATTTGGTAATGTTTTTTAGTGACGGGATTTTAAACATTTTTATGTCGCTGACTGATACTGTAAAGCCTACTTTTTTGACAGTCAGTATGAGACGTTTTCTCATAAAATGATTTAAGGGATGAAACCATCCAGATGAAGAACTAAACTCACTGTACATTTTTTTGAACATATGACTTAACGTCACCACTTCAGAACTGCGCTAAATGTTAGTTTTAGAATTGACTTCCCCATTTTCAGTTATATTCAATATATTTTATGACTGATCCACGAATTTTAAATATTTATACCATGGGATCATTTTGCTCTATATCTCATACAGTCATATATAAACCAGTCAGCATAAAATATGTTGGTTTTATTGAAGGTTGAATGTTTTCTAGTTAATTTGTAATCAGTAATGATCACAATGATTTCAAAGTCTTGTTTAAATAATTTCAATAATATTCTGACGCTGATGAGTCTCTAATCCCGATGGTATGGCTTTAAACGCATAATGCTAAAGTTATAAAATTAAATATTATCAAGACAGTTTTGCATGACCGACCCAAGTAAGTTATTCCTTTCACCTAATGGTCATTCTTTCGAGATGATTAGTTTCCCAAAACCGATTATCTTTAACAGTCGTTCCAGGAGAAATATTCTTAATGGTGTAAACAAACAGAAGGCATCTATCGTCCACACACTGGCAATTATATCCATTCTCTACTGTTGAATATACTGTTGAAATATATATCCTCTGTAATTTATTTATCAGAACAATATAACAATCAAATATACTTTGCTTACACTTTATGACACTCCAGTCTGACTGTTGACTAGGTAAACCGATTTGAAATTGATTAACTGGAGATACACGAAATTGAATAGCTACATGTGTCGTAGAATCTATCGGTACATTGGCATCAGTAAATGCAGCTGTTATCATTCGTATTGTTGCTTCTTGGTTGATTTCATTCATTGTTGTTTGTGATCTTACTTTTTTTCTCATTGCATGAAATGAATGCTTTGAATCCTTATTTAAATCGATGGAAATTTTTGTTAGATCTTCAAAATCAAAAGTGTACAGTCTCATTGAACTGTTTATCATAGTGAAAGAATACCATTTGTTTAAGTTCCCTGTAGAATAAAATATTATTATTATAATACCAGTTAAAAGTATCTTACTATCTGATAATCATAGATTATCAAGAACGAGTCTATTTTTAAATACATTTAAAAACCTCACTTCATTTCAACCATGCTTGCAAACATAAAGAGACTCTACTGAAGAAGACGTAGCGATAGGATCTCTTATATTAAATGGATTCAAATAACTTGAACATAAGTGAATGAACAATTTAAAGTGTGTTACTTGTGGATAACTTTGATTGTTATAAAATATTTAGCCTTCATTACATGAATCTTAAACCATTCAATCATAAATGAAGGTAAAATGTTGAAGGGCACAACGTTGAATACTTCCGCTTCCAATGAAAAAGCTAGTTTGAGTTTTTTTGTTGCTTCAAATCACAGGTTAACAATTCTGGATGCAATGTGATAGATAACACATTCAGTTGCTTCATATTAATCTAAATCTTTAATACACTCAGACTGGTACATACTTGTATCAAATAGCTTGTTGTTTACTATCGGTTATTTAATGTCAGAAAAAACGTAACTCAGATTCATCAGACATTAAATATCAATCTTTTTATTGCTGTAATTTTTCATTCACCTTATTACTTTCACTGAATAGTTCCTATAAGTTTACAGTACTATATATACGTTTTATTTCACTCTTAGTCTTGTAATGTGATGGAGTGAATAAACAGTAGTTAAACATCCGGAATTGTCACAGCTATATGTGTGCGGGATCGTGGATAAGTATTTCTAAAAAGTCCCATAGTAAGACAAAACGACCATGCAGTGCATCCAGATTTTCAATAGTGGTTTAGCTCAGATAGTCTCGTGGGTTCAACTGTAAAAATCGAGTAATAATCACCTGATTTATCAATATTTTTGAAACACCTATTTTCCAGATGTTTAATTGGAAATATTGATTGAGATGATAGATCAATCAATGTCAGACCACCATTGAGAACCTGGAAGCATTGGACGACATTTTCGTCCTGGTATGGGACTCCTCAACAGTGCACATCTACGACCCCACACACGAGATGTAAACTCAGAACCTTCGGTCTTGAGCTCGATTGCTTAACCTCTACACCACTGTTCAAGAATACAATGGTGTTAATGTATAACTTTAGCCAATCTAAGATATTGCACAACCATCTTGTACTGTCTTCGGTAGGTAACTGCCTCACACCCAACGTAGATTATCTTTATTGCTTATGATATCTTATTAGAACTCTGAGAATCACCTCTCCATGCTGGTCACTACTATGTACATGATACTGGATATATTTAATTAAACTATGTACTCACGCTTTTGCCTACTGTTATTTGTGAATCTCTAAAGCCATGTATGAAATAGTGTTATCAATGAAAGAAAACACATTATGATAAATGAAAATTTATCAAATATTTATGTGTGAGCGTTCTTAGTCGAATAAATATTTATGTACAATGAAGTCCTATTTTTAATACATTAGAAAAAAATATTCTCATAGTGCTAAATAACCTACAAGAATAACGTAATTCAATTAATATATGCGTAATCGAATTGATCCCAGACATGGCTTCACTCCATAGAATTGTAATGACAGTTGATGCATAATTTATATTTGTTTTATTATAATGAAACTTTAATGAATTCCTAGTCAAATTTTCAAATTTTGGATTCGTCGCAGTTTTATTTATACTACTGATAAACACTACTGGACGACGTAATATTGGTGAATTGAATGAACAAAACTTTTCCAAACTGGGGTCGATCTAAAATGAAATGTAGTAAATGGGTAACAAATGATAACACCATTAATTATGACTAATTATGAAGTATAGTTCATGCAAAATTTTTTTTTCATAGTTGAAATCATTAGTCAATTGAAGCTAGACTATCGGTTAAGTGCGCTGGTGCGAGACTGGTATGTCCTGGGTTCAAATCTCGTGAGGCGGGATCTTGGATGCGAACTTCTGAGGAGTCCCATAATAGGATGAAACGGCAGTCCAGTGCTTCCAGGTTTTCCATGGTGGTCTAGCTTCAATTGACGCATGATTTCAACTATGAAAAATACTGAAATCTCCATAAAACCCCTTCTGATTCTCAAAATATGTTTCTTTTTTTCATAGTTAGGGAATATTATCAATACAGTCCTTGAGAATTTAGATAGTTAAATGACTCCGTTCAGACACAATCTACAGTCTTGATAAATAACGAAGAAAAAAGTCATGAATTCATTAATGATACGTGTCATAAAGTTATTTTTTAAACTGTAATCAAATAAAGTAGTCTCTCGTTTTGTTCTATTGAAATTACTTCTTACTACATTTTACACTAATCCATGTAATGTCTGATGCATACATAATTCTATGCTAATGTGGCAAAATCTTGGCTGTTAAAACATATTGTGGCATGTTAGATTAGGTATTCAGGAAACGATCACATTTCTCTTATAATCATCATGATCTAGATCCAAAAGTCTCTTTGTGCTACATGATGGAGTGTAGAAATTTAAAAATAAAACAAAGGTTACTGACCTTAATAGTAGAATGTGTTAGTTTTTTACATGAAATATTTAGTACGTAAACGTCCAAACTCTCATGAGTAATGAATAGTGTTTGATTGAGGAAACAAAATACAGAGGGACCAGAAAATTGGTTGTTATCAATGCAACCAAGATAATGTAAAGATGTATTTTACGGTTTTCTGTTTGGCATTATTGAAAATGTCCTATGTTACAGGAATGTATCTTTTTTTAAGAGATTATGTGAAATAGACCGAATGCTTAAGTTTAAAGAGCCATTTATATTGCATACTTCTACATCTTGTTTAAATACTTAGTTAAAAAATATAGCTGTAATTTACACCAATGTTCTTATATCTGAATAGTCAGCTTTTAACAACTAATCGCTTAGTAAACACAAAAGACTACTTTAACCTATTTATTATGATCTTCACAACAATAAATTTGATTTTTCCTCAAAAGTACAATGATCATCATTAAATATTGGCACTATACACAGTAAAACAGGATATATATATATATATATATATATATATATCATGAAAGGTAATCATTGCTAATTATAGTGAAGAATTTATTTATTCAACTCTATAGACAAATATTAGTTGGTATCAAGGTCTGACATTGATTAGGCATGTCATGAACCACTGGACATCTGTTCCATGCTAGTATGGTATATTCCAGCAGCGCTAGCGTACGAATCACCCAGAATAAATGCCAAAACTTTCAGATCTAGAAAAATGCGCTTGACCTTCAGACTATGAGTTGACGATCATTGGTGTGCATCCATAAATTTAATCAGTTTGTAATACTGTTCTATCATGTTTCTATCCCTTTAATCTTTGATTATCTCACATCATACATAGTTGAAGTACATAGATATTCTAATGAAAATTCAAGCTCCAACACATGTTTATCTGATTGGGTACATTTGACTGAACAATGTTGATGTTGAACAAGTTATTTATTTACTAGATAAGTTACATTTTGATTATTTACCTTCAAATATCTATTTTATGTAAAACTTGGGATAATTGGTATGCTCTGTTTGATGGCAAATAGCAATATCCATGTTATTGATGTAAGATAATCAATAAATGATTTATGAACATATATTTAGATTTATCTATAATCATCTTAGATAACTCACAATCGTCTTAAATCTAATGATTATAATGACTATTTCATAAAGACAATATGAATTTATGATCTGTATCACAAAACTTGAAAGAATACACTTAGTACTTACTGTTTTGAGTATAGTTTTAAAATCACATTTATGTTGGGATATAAGTTTAATTATTTGAGGTGAATTAAACCAACAATAACTTGTTGATGCATAAATACAATTCGGTATACTCCAACCATCATTTTGTTTTGATTCTGTTCGAGCGTACACTTTAAATATATATGAAGTATTTTCATGTAACTGATCTATGGTGTATGTTGTTTCAAACGATTTTAGTATCACTGTAAATTGATGCCCAAGTTCTTTGCTATTTATCGAATCTATAAGTAGGATAAAATAATAGATTCATAAAACTAATACGTTAATTAGCGGTTTTTTTTAGCTAAAATACAAAAATGCAACTGATATTAAACTTGATTGCGTAATCAACAGTGGATATGAATTGAAATTGATCGGTCTCAAAAACTAATCTACAAATCACATTTAAGAAGGAGTTATTCGTTACTTATTTTTGTAAGCGTTTCTCTAATCTACAGTACAGGCGAAAACTAAACAAATGGCTCGTCACTACCGAGTGAAGGATGGTAGATTCAAACATACGTATAGTATAAACTATAGTATTGTTGTCCTCATGATAACAGTATGTATAGTTTACTGAATATTTCAACTTTCCATCCAATGTATCATATTAAATAACCCAAATGTTACCTTTAAGGCTTGTCATTTAAGTACTTTGGCATTGATATACACTTGTTTTATTGACTAACGCAGCTGTTATTAAAGATATTCTTAAGAGAAAATAATACTTACACAACATCATAATCATGCATCTTCATTGTCTAAACAAATGAGTTCAGTGAACTATTCATGTTATGGCCTACTGCTGCGTAGCCTGCTAATACATTAGTTGTCTTCGTCTGCATTTGTTGGTGTGTATGAGTTAGAAGAGGTAGGTCATCCACGAAGTCCAACTCATTTAGTTACATCCGACTCGTCCATTGTATTCAGTGATTCCCGTCACCTATCAAGGTCTTCATAATCCAGTCAACCACCAGAGGGAAGAGAAAGGGTGAGAGTAGGCACCATCGCCTGACACAGGTCCTCAAATGGAATGCGTCTGTGGTTGCTAGGTCTTCCACATTTTTCTGATTATCAACTCTAATGCTCTCATTCAGTTGCTTGTTTGTTTCTGTGTATTTATATTGCGCTTTGACTTTTTCTGCTCTTGTTTGGCTGTTGTGGTGATCTGAAACTAAATAAGATCCTCTACTGATTCTCATGTCTTCCATTATCCTTCTTACTTTTTTACTGATACAAACATGATACCCTCTATGGTACTCCATGATATGATCCGGTGAGACTGATGTAGATTTGTGTATGCGTTTGTGTGGAAATATTGTGCCGTCTATAACCGTTTTGTTGGATGCACATTAGTTTGCAAATCTTTTACCATTTACGTTTCTTTCTCACAGCCCATATCGTTTCATGATGTCTTCATATCCGATGTTGTGCATTCAGACTTTGGCGGTTAGGTCGTCAATCAGGATGATCAGATGTTTTCCTGAGCACTTCACTATCACTGGATGCAGGCTGCTTGGTATTAACTGGTGGATACATCTTTTAGGTGAGATATCAAATGCATCTACTGAATAAGTTAAGAATACGATTGTTTTTTGAAGGCCGTTCACAATGATCATTCAAAATAAATTGTGTTTGATTTCAAAACCATCTCCACAAAGACAAAATGAATATAAGGAACACAGAGATGATAGGAATGTTCCTAAATAATTAAATATACCCTGAATCATCAGATAAATTTAGATTAATAGCTTTTAAACCTTTATAGGTATTAAAAATAAATTTCAGGAACAAATTATAATCGTAATGTTGACAGACATCACAGTAAACTTGTAAAAAATGGTGAAACTTAGATTTTCACTGAGCTCAGAAGAATCAGTATGTACTGCTATAAAAGGGAAAATATGTTACAAATTGTACATCCTTTGAATCCATTCCAGCAGGTTCGTCGGTAATTTCTAAATGTGTCGTGGAAATTTTTAATAAAGCTAATGGTATGAATGTCGATCATTTTGAGAACAAGGCGAGGCAAATTGTTCGCAACTCTTTCAAAATTCAGGTGTTTCAAATAATTGTATTGTGGTGTGATCTACTTATATACATATAAGTAGTATATGGTGTTGGTCAGACATAGAATGTATTTTGGCAGAAGTCCGATGAGGGAAGAACTGAACTGAAGAGCAATCGGTAGGAAAATGCACGAACAATGTAATTAGAGAAGAAACAGTGAAGATTGAGACTGCTGGTTGTTAATTTGCAAATTAACTGTCCATTGTATGGTCTTCAGAATTTACTGAGATAGTCTGTAATTTATGCCTAAGTGCATTCGATTGTCCCCAGTCGTGTTCTGTTCACTACAGTATAATCGATACAAAGCATTAAAAGTGTTATGTCTAGTAAGAGTGAGTTTATATCCGGTTACTTACTTCGATCAATAAATTGATTGTCTTTGAATGGAAAAGTAATTTCACTCCATGTGATACGGTAATTTACGAGTTTTCCATTCAATTGTTCAGGTTGTAACCATTCAAGTTTAATTAGATCTCTTGATAACCATTGAGACGATAATGAAAATGGAGGGTTCGGTGGTGATTGTGATGTACATAACAATTCACCAGATAAACAACCATTTTCTGTTGAATGATGCAACTTTATATTTGTATTAATTTTTGTCTCTTTATAATCGGATTGAGGGAAATATGCATTTGGTCCATGTCCACCCGTTGTTATAACATGAATTGACGTTTTATAATAAAAATACGGTTTAATAATTGTTTGACCTGATAGGATAACACTTGATTGAGTTATACTTGATACAGAATGTAATAAAACACCGTGTACATGCGGTTTAATGAAGATGGAATGAGTTTGAATGGAATCATAGGAGATGTTATAATTTATGTCACCGTATTCATGTACTTCTAACTATAATGCAAAGACATTTCAATGAAACAGAAAACTCATCAGTGTATTAATATTTATTTTATTATATGCAAGCTGCAAATATGTTTCCATTAATTTCGTAACCTACAAAATTGACACTTCTTTATAGACAATAAGTACTTTTCCGCTGACTCATGCTTATTGACCGGTTTTTCCAAACATCCAAAACTATAGCATATTACATGGGGTGAACAGTAACTCAGATGAATGAGTAGACTGCTAATTAGTCGGCTTCATTTGTTCAGTAGTAAGGAAGTAGACAAATATGATATTCATTAGTACTTAGTAGTCTAGTCATTTGAATATCTACATACACTAGCAAATTATTTTACTAACAAATCTCATTTCGTTTTACTTTCTTTAAAAAATGTATATGTAGTGACCACTAAGTACATTGTATTAATTTATTTAAGTAATTTCGGGAAATACATTCATCACTGGTTCATTTTTTTTAAAAATTGAATGTAGTTGAGAGGTGACTAGCAGAAGATCAAAATGCATCTTACTATTCAGTAGGCTTGATGTTCACGGGTTTGAACCCTCTTAGGGTAGTAAGAGCTTGAATGTGTCAAATTATTGATAAAAGTAGTTGAATAGCAGACTATAGTTTTCTGGTTCAGAAGCTGGACGTCGGTGAATTGTTTTTGACTGAAATTTGTAGTTATTTGTGTTAAATTATGACGCGGTGTGGTAAATTTCGTTTGAATAGATGAAAAATCCATATTTTAATTACCCTAAGTTGAAACGAAGACCAATTATTATTTAAAAATAAACAAACCTAATCATTTATTGTTTTAGCTTCTAATTCTATCAAGAACATTTCTAAGATCTAACAATATTCATGGCTTTTTTGTTTCAAAACGACTCCATATCCGGAAGTTAGCAAACCAGATCAAGCTGCAAAGTTTCAGAAGAACAGTAATAAGTTTTATAGTCATCTACCTGATATTTTTATAGCAAAATTAACCAAACTTTTTTTATGACATATGAAACATTTTAATAGTTGAGATCATGAATCAAATCAAGCTAGACCATCATGGAAAACACAGAAGCACTGAAAGGCTGTTTCGTCCTAGTGTTGGACTCTTCAGCAATGCGCATCCGCGATCCCGCCTCGCGAGATTCGAACTCAGGACCTACTAGTTTCGCAAGCGATCGCTTAACCATTAGATCATTGAGCCGGCATGCTACAGCGTTAATGTCTAACTTCAACCGATTCACGAAATCGAGAGACCGTCCACTATTGTCTTCAATGAGTTGATATCTCACAACAGACCTAGTTGAACTCTACCGGTCATTGCTTCTCACTAGAACTCCAGGAAAAACCTCTTGAGGACAGTCACTAGTGAGCATATGTTAAATAATATCAGAAGGGGTTTCGTGGATACTATAGTAATTTTAATAGTTGATTCAATTCATTCATGATCTCAACTAATAAAATTAACTAATATATCCACAAAACCCCTTCTGATACATATGAAATAGAGTTGAGATCATGAGTCAATTGAAGCTAGACTACCATGGAAAACCTGGAAGCACTGGACGGCCGTTTCGTCCTATTATGGGACTCCTCAGCAGTGCGCGTCCACGAACCCACTCTCGCGGGATTCGAACCCAGGACCTACCAGTTTCGAGCCGAAGCCCTTAACCGATAGACCACTGAGCTGGCATCCAACGGTGTTAATTTCTAACTTCAACTGATTCACGAAATTGAGCAACCATTCACCAATGTCATCAGTGAGTTCCTATCTCACAACAGACCTGGTTGAAGTTAGAAATTAACACCGTTGGATGCCAGCTCAGTGGTCTATCGGTTAAGGGCTTCGGCTCGAAACTGGTAGGTCCTGGGTTCGAATCCCGCGAGAGTGGGTTCGTGGACGCGCACTGCTGAGGAGTCCCATAATAGGACGAAACGGCCGTCCAGTGCTTCCAGGTTTTCCATGGTAGTCTAGCTTCAATTGACTCATGATCTCAACTCTATAAAAATACTAAAATCTCCACAAAACCCCTTCTGACATATGAAATAGTTTAGAAAATCTTTTCTCTTAAAAAAACACACCGTAGCTTGACTTACAATAAATCCTAAAATACCTTGAAATTCTTTATATTCCCATGTACATTTAATTAAAACTTGAATAGGATCAGATAAACATAAAAAATTCATTGGACTTAATAATGGTTTACTCAATAGTATAGGGTAATTCAGTTTATTCATATACATAATGATTGATCTAGTCATTTGTTTTATTTGATAATATTGTAGTTCTATTGGATTACATCCAATTCCACTGTTAATAATTATAAATGATGATGATGATAATTGTACCACTGAAGTCATTAAATTATTGGTATTATAATTATTGATAGCTTCAATAGAAAATAAATAATAATGATTTGGTATTAAATTTTTTAATTCCACATGGAAATATGAATTTTTAATTTGATTTTCATCATGTTTTATAAATAAATTAAATAACTGAGTATTTGCATTATTATAATTTGATGACCATAATCTATATGTGATATGATACCAACCAGGTTGACTATTCCATTGATGATAATTCAGTGCCTATAGATTCAAAAAAGAAAATAATGATGATAATGTAAACAAACTTTGATAAAATCAAGCGAAAATTCAGATCAGAATAGGGACTTTGTGAAGATTGTAGTATCTTTAAAGTTGAATTCACGAGTCGATCTAAAATAGACCACTGGACGGCTGTTTCGTCCAAGAATAGAACTACTCAACAGGGTGAATCCATCATCTCACATACGGGAATCGAACGTAGGACCTTGGGTCTCACTCACGAACGCTCAAACTCTAGACCACCGAGCCGGCATGCAGCGGTGTTAATGTCTAAATCAAATCAATTCATGATCTCCACTCAACACGGATTGAACTTCACTGGTCACGACTTCTCATTAGAACTTCAGGTAATCCATTTTGAAGCTAGTCATTAGTGAGAACATGTTTCTTATTATCAGAATGAGGATCTGTAAAGGTTGTAGTATATTTATAGAAAAAACGAAAATGTTCCCTTCTGCATTAATCTTTTCATACATCCAAACAAAATTGTCATTAATATGTAGTATGGAGCAGTCGATATTTGTGAATAATTACTTATAAGAAGATTATGGTGTTTCAAAAATTGGTAGTTTTATCATTATCTAAATATTATATAAGTGTAAGTATGAGATAACACTTGGATCCGTTATAAATTGACATCCATAAAATACATATCATTGATTATTGTAGAACTAATGTTTAACGGAATCTACAGATCCGCACTATAGTATATTCATAATAACTCGTTTACAATGTTTATATAAACTGGATAAGTTATTAAACATGTTTGTCAGTATAAGTCGTATGTGGATATTGTAACCGTCATCGGGATCATGAACCAACGAAAGTTGAACAACCAATAAAAACCAAGAAGCACTGCACAGCGATTTTAACTTAAGATGGTACTAGAAAGAATCCGCTGTCCATTGTTTATTGGTTTTTATTGATTATTTAACTCAGATATATTCTTGAACCCAATGACATTTAACGACTTCCAAGAACTCTCTTACATGTAATTACTATGTTTTTACTGATGACCTATTTGGAGAAATAATTCACAGAGTTCTAGTTTGAGATCGTATTCCAGTTATCGAACAATGACACAAACTCTTCCATTCAAGCATGTTATTCACTGAATACCACCTATGTGATGCAAAAATTAACCTCTCATCCTGATATCTGAAGTTTGTACTTTTTTCCCTGATGGAGTTGTGGATGACGACGACTGTTTAATCCCTTACCAGGATAAACAGTTTTCTATTAGTTCTTGATTATTAGTGGATATTTGACTAAGTTAGGCTAGAGATTTTAATAACCATGTTTGCATACAATAATATAAATAGTAGAAAATAATCAAAAGGAATAATCAATGAGCTGTTAGCAAACAAATGAAAGATGAAATTATTCGACTTTCTAGCCTTTTGGATAATTAAAAATCTTACTAACTTTAGGCAATGTATTTGATATCACACTAAACCAGATTTGTTATTTTCGAACTGATCGCTAAATTTCATTTATCATAGTAATTATAAATTCAGTCGAATCACGTTCTAGTTAGATTAGTGGTCTATCGGTTAAGTGCTCGCGCGCGAGACTGATAGGTCCTGGGTTATAATCTCGCGAGTGCGGGATCGTAGATGCGCACTGCTGAGGAGTCCCATAATAGGACGAAACGGCAATCTAGTGCTCCCAGGTTTTTGATGGTGGTCTAGCTTCAATTGACTCATGATCTCATTTATGAAAATACTTAATTCTCCACAAAACGCCTTCTGATCTATTAAAAATACATAAAACACAATTCACTATCATTTTATCTTTCCATATGAGTATCTTCATTTTTATAAAAAAGAATAAATATAAAAAACCAAAATATGGAAAGCAATAAAACTCACTTTCCACTTTAACAATAAATATTCACAACATCCCCCCTCGCTCCGTCTCCTTGAAGTTAGATCGGAACGTTGGGATATTTCAGAGTGCAGATGAGATCTCAGTTCAAATTCTAATTTAATCGAATAATAACAAGGTCTTTGAGGACTTGTTATCAAAATATCAGTTGGTAGACTGAAAGGACTTATTCCAATATCAGTTTGAGCAGCTAGACGAAAAATGTACATTTTATAAGGTAGGAGCCTAAAAGAAAAGGCAAAAAATTGAATTTACTATCGCCTAACATTAAGATATTTAAGACAAAAACAAATAACTAAACAAACAAACTAATTCAATATTTTTCATAATAATTATTTATCATAAAGCGCACAAGATGTTCCATATGTCGAACTTTACTCATTGACATTTGAAATGTACTTACGTACATTCCTACGCCTGGTTCCCCTTGTCAAGAAGCTAAGGTCTCCCATCAGCAGTCTTCGTCGAACTCTGTTCCCCATATTTCAACTCAGAACAATAGGACTGTCTTCATGTTCGTATTGAAGATTCTCATTTTGTTATTTGTAGACAAATATCTTGAGTTCCATATGTTCATCAATTGCATGAATACTGCGCTTGCTTCCACAATCCTCACATTTACGTCTTCATCGTATAGTCCTTATTTATTGATGATGCTGTCCAGTTATGTGAAAGAGTCAACATCATCCAGACATTCCTCATCAAGTGTAACTCGGTTGGTGCTCCCCGTATTGTATTTGAGGATCTTGATTTTCCCCTTGTGTATGTTATGGTATACTGCTGCGACGCCGGATGCTACACCAGTTGTCCTCATCTGTATTTATTGGTGTTCATGGGTTAGAAGAGTTAGGTCATTCACGAAGTCTAAGTCATCTAGTTACATCCAATCCATACATTGTATTCCGTGATTCCCCTACACACTATCGAATGCCTTCTCATGGTCAAGGGAGTTGATGTATAGTGAAGAGTTGCATTCAAATGATTGTTCAACAATGATCCGTAATGTCGTGATTCGGTCTGTGCACGACCGATCCCTACGGAATCCGGTCTGCAGACATCGAAGTTGCACGTTTATCAGTGACACTTATTCTTCCTTACAAATCTTTCTGAATGTGGAGCATGTTTGCAGTAACTTCTATATCTGACGTCGGTGCTTCAGCTGGTATATTTTCAGGTCATGTTGCTTTCCCATTCTCTATTTGTCCAATATTCATGTTGTTTTCTTTGATAATGTTGGAGTGACATCTATGTGAATGTCTGTGCTGATTCGATATCTAGTAGGTTCAGTGTATCTGGTCTAGTCAAGAGTCCTTATGATGATGCTTGCTGGGGCACATAACCTCCTTATATGTTTTAGTTGGTGCTATTTTTATGCCTTCTCAGTTATCCTCTATAATGGTTTCTTCTTCTTTCAGTAGATCATATAAGGCTTGGAACCCGTAGTTGAGAGCTACGTCAGCTAATCTCTCTGTTTTCGTTTCTTCCATTCTCCTTGATTTTTTACTGATACAAATATGATATCCTCTATGGTTCACCGTGGTATGATTCGGTGAAACTGATGTAGATTTTTGTATAAGCTTGTGAGGAAATATTGCGCTGTCTGTAACCATTTAGTTGGATGCATATTAATTTGCAAATCTCTCACCATTCACGTTTCTTTCTCATAGTCTATGACGTCTCATGATATCTACATATCCGGTGTTGTCCATTCCAATTTTGGCATCAATTTGTATCTCTCCATTTTCGTCACAGTTTGGATAGTCATTCTGGTTTCCCACATTGTCTGAACTATCCATGTATTTGTTGTGGCTGTGGCTGTCAGAAGAGGCATCAGTCACGTTGCCTCCGATGAATCTTGGTTCTTACCATGAGAATGAAGATTCTTTAACTCAGATTATATAGTTTAAATTGTGTGATCTGGTTAGCGTTCTTTTATCAAGATTGTTTTCTACAGGATAGGGTTGTCGATATCATGCCCAACCCTCCTGGTTTATGAGGGCTTGAGACTGGTAGTAACTCTAGAAGAGCTACGGGCAGAATTTGCAGTTTTACTCACGAGAATTTAATTTATGAACTACTTTTTCAACGTATTAGTGATAAATTATCCTAAGACAAATAATTCTGTACCAGTGACCTCCATATTTCATTTTGTATAGTTATTTTTGTCACATAAAATAAATGCCACACTAAAACTGTCAGTTTTAATTAGGAACAAATAAAGAGTTTTAGACAATTGATTGATTGTCACAGATATCTATCAAAATTTTTAATTTAACTTAAATAACATCACACTTATCAGCTTCATGTTTAATGATGTAGTTACAAAGTTCCATGTTTATGAAATGAGTGCATTAAAACATTCAAACTACGTAAAATATAAAATGTCCAACTTCCAAGGTATTCATTCATTTCAATCTAATGAATTATCATCTTCAAGGTTTTATGATAATATTTCTAAAACAGTCACCACGTGATGTGTCATATATGTGGAATCAGATATCTGATATGTGATAACATATAGTAACAGAAACCTGAAATAGACATTCAGTTAAAAATTAATCTAAAATGTTTCTTCAAACATAGTGTAGGGTTAACAGATGGATAGCATAGAAGTTCTATAAGTAGAAGGATATTATAGTAAATAGCATGGTACCACATTCTTATTCAAAACATGAGTTCCTGATATTTTCGAAGTGTCCGATATCAGCTTTAAAGCTTCTTAACTAATAAGAAATTGACTAAAAAAATATTCAAAATTAACTGACTTCCTCTCAGATTACATAGCTTATAAGTAATTCATGTCAGTATAATCAGCAATCGGAAACATACTTTAAATTAATAATATCATACATTACATATATTACTGTAATACAAATTATCGGACTAAATTAGAAAACATTCAAATTCAGTCAACTGTAACATCCTAATGGGGCGACAGGGTTAAATATTTTTAAATGAGAGAAAATGGATATATAGGTAATCAGTCAGGTATTTACAAAAGCTATCCAGGTTATAATAATGAACTGATGAAGCAAATGATTTTAATGGCAATTACAAACGTAATCATCAGTTTGTAATAATAATAATAATAATAGTAATGTTAAACTTAAATAAACTATGAGAAGAACAAGGTGAAGTTAAAAAATAATAATTTCCAGGATTAGATATTACTACATTTGAAGTGTTGTTAAAATAAAAAGTTTTATTATAAACATTTGTATTATTGTTACCTATAGGGATAAAGAAAACACATTTATCCTATATAACTTCTAGGGAAAGAATAAATAAACATTGTACCCAATGGTTGCTTTTATTTATATTCACAGGAAATGACTGGAAGTGAATCTAATCTGACATCATCAACATCAGCATACTGAGGTAATGTCACCTCGTAATTTCAGTTGCTGAAAGCATTGTCGTTTAAATGATCGATACTGGATAATTCACCTTTCACAATAGTGTCAAAAGTATTTGTCCTCATTACGAATTGAACTTTTTGTAAGGTCTATCCACTTCATCCTCACTATTTACTCAGGTGTATGTACGTATAGACGGAATGGATCCTGATAACAGATTTTTAGTGTTGGAAGGTGAATGATACTCTTTTATAAAATTAAATCATCTTGCAACCATTCTTTAAACTTTAGTAGGTATATATTTTTTTTCCAAATACAGCACTCTATATTCGTTTGCGCAGTTTTAGAAGTAGTACCTCAACATAATTCAACAGACAGTTACCTAGCTTAAACGTGTGTATAAGGAATAATTAAGTATGTTCATGAACTTAGTTTAAAGAAACCAATGGGTCAGTATTGATTAAGACATTGGTGCTGCTGAATATAGAATATGTCGTAAGTCTTTACATACCAAGGCAACACTTTATTTTAGATTTAATCAGAGAGGTCATGATAATCATTAGCTTACATTTTACCAAGTACTTCTTATCATGAATGTACAGCCGAATCTGCATTTTGTATTTCTTACAGAAACAAAAAGACAGAACACAACAATAAACAAACATTCATGCAGCCTTTTGCTATATATCCTGATAAATTATTAACTATGTTTAGACATTAACATTGTTGGATGCCAACCCAGTGATGTAGAGGTCGAGCGTTCACAAGCCAGACTGAAGATCCTGGGTTTGATTTCCATAGTCGAGGGTGAGCGTCGATTAATAGTCTTATACTAAAACGTTATGGCCTTCTGATGTTTTCAGGTTTTAAATGGCTGCCTAACTTAGATCATTTCATGATTTAAATGAAATTATATCTTAATTTGTCAAGTCAGTTCGTTATTTTATAACAATGTTATTAATAAGTATCGACGACACTTAATGATGTATTTTTTCCATGAAAATGTAAGGAAAAATGTTACTTGTACAAGCGCCTGCAAATACAGAATAATTTAAGATTATAAATAAGTTTTTTTGTGTATAAGAAATTCAACTAGATATTCAACTATGATCGACGAATAAAGTAATCTGAAAATTCACTTATCTCATCTAGCTCTCAATAAACCAAAATTAATCATCCGTCCATCAGCGACGTAGCTCGAAGTTTACTTCCATGAATTCTAGTAAGAATCCATAAGCAGCAAAATTCAGTCGTATGCGATGGATATTTACCGCATTCAATGAAAGATGGGTACATATTTTTGCCAATATGGACATGTAAACTTTTGTTTGTTTGCTCAGTGTTCAAAAGATAAACAATTGCGAAAGCAACCGAAATCCTGAAGAATCTTTTACTGAGAAAAAAGCAACTATCCACTGAATCCTGGTTCTCCTTGAATGTCTACCTTAGGTAAGCACATGGTAAAAACTAAAATAAAGTGATATACCACTTTATGTAACTTAGTTTTATTTCGATCTCTTATCATCATTTACATTCTTAAAATTTCATTTTTCCATATTTACGTGTTGTTTAGTAAATCTGTTTACCAATGGAAGATAATTAGTCCACTTTAAAATTGGTAACATGCTGTGATACCGCACTTTACACCATACCGTTTAATTTAATTTTTGGAACAAACAAGAAGTAACAACGGAAATTACAATGGAAACACTTAGATATAATTTAAAGCATTTAAATGGATGAATCAATGTTGTAAAACACTGGATCTGAACAGCATAATAAACCAGTTGGATTTAAAAGTAGGAAGTTACATATTTTTTATCATCGAGTTAATCATCTTTACCCTATTGCACTCCATATTAAAACTTCTACAATAGAGAACAGTCTAAAAGAATACGATAAAACATAAACATTCTGTTGTGTCCTGAATCAGGTGAATATAAATTCAAACCTCCATATCTATGGAAAATAATAAATTTATACCATACAGTGTGTAGCGTTATCAAATGTTAACCATTAATAACATATCCTGATAAATATGTGGGGAATTTAACGTGTATTACATATTTTTTTAATATTCATAGTATTCATACTACTATAGAAGTAAACATCTGTTAAAGTGAGTGACAGTTTTTCGCAAAAAGAAAACATCATTGGAACGTCGAAAGAGGAGCAAATAAATTCTCAAAGAAGCTGTTAAATTATCAGAATAATACATAGTGAAAATGAAGGAATAAAAGGTGACAGTTACTGAATAATTACGTCATTAGACACACTAATGATAGTGATATTTTTCCTCCGGAGACATTTAGCAATTTAACTGCCCTGTAGAAACTGTTTTTCAAATTACAAAAAACACCTTATTGTAAGTAATGATATATATAATTTAATAACAATGAGGTTTTGAAGATTACTTTCTATAATAACCGACAGATGTATTTTAAAGTAAAGTTGAAAAGATATGATGGTTTGCGGTATGAAACACTTAATTAAAAAGCACATCAGACAGTCATGGAATCACTTCAAGAAAATATTGCGTGGTAACTTTACAGTGCTGTATTTGTAAGAAACACGTAAGAAAATAAATCTTATAAAGTCTAACGATATGCCGACAAGTCAGTTCTAAAATGTTTGTGTCACACGAATTTTAAAATAAACATCAAATGGTTTTGCCAAAGTCGATTCGAAATTTCGGCCCAATATTTTTCCAAGCTTTCATTATTAACAACAAACTTAGCACTTTTAGTTATAGTTCAATTTACTAATTGTGTCTAATTACAACGTGCATTCAGGCCATTTACAACCTATCTTAAATCTAATTACTAATAAATGATTCGTGCAGTATCATCCTCTTCGTTTTCATGGGTAAACGAAATGCGATTTCTATGTGATTCATTCATTTAATATATGAGACTATAAATAAAGTTGTTATGGGAGCTAGGCTGATTGTGAAAGTGTATGGTTGAATATGAAGAGCTGCTAATTATTGTTTAAAACCGTTTAGTTCACCCGTTTTTAAATATTAAACAGTTAAATTTTACTAAACTGGAACCCTGTTGTGCTACTGCAGATTTTGTTCTGAGAATTCTTTACTGCAATCAAACATGTTGTATGAAAGAAAACTTACGGTTAGGAAACAGAAGCAAAATATTATTTCTGTCAACAAACACTTAAATAAAACAAATTTACGTCTATATAAAATAATTTAATTCAAAAATTTGAACGTTTTTCAGACAGATTTTCAACAAAATATTTCCACGTGAACAAAGCAATAGAATGATATATTCTTTCACGGGTAAACCCTACAGAAAAATGTATCAACTTACCCATCTACTAAGAAATCATTCACTTCATCAATCTGTGGTGCCGGTTGATACGTCTTCCAGATAACAGAACCAAAATTAATTGAATTCTTACTATAAATATCTTCACTGAAATTGTTATTCATTACTTCTGCATAATGCAAAACATAATTTGTGACTGGAGATGTATACAGAAATCCAGAACTATATTCAGTTGTTTGATTTGAATGTAATTGACGTAAATAATTAGGCCAAGATAAATGAGTTTTGGCGATAGGGCATATTGTATTTTCATATTGTTTTTGCGTGAAACTTCTATGTGATAGTTGTATTTTGGGCGTTACTGGACGTTGTCGCGGTCCTGTTTGAAAACTTTCAACGGTTGTTACATAAACCTAGAGTAAAAATTTAGGGTTACTTAGTTATCGTTATATTATGACAAAAAGATCACAAATTTGAGCAAAGTGAATTTAAATACGAATGTTTATGCTATCATTCAACATTTCTTGCATAATTATTCATTTATTAAACGTTTTTAAGCCCAGAAGAACGAATATTATAAAATGAGTTTAGTTTATTTCTTCATGTTTATTCTAAATTTTACATATACACAGAAGCTCTTTATAAACAGGATATGCCTTCCAATGATTAAAACAACAAACTAGCGTGCACCAACCGATCCAACTCCTAATAGTCTATCATCAGCCTATGTCGCACAACTTCTGACTGAAGATAACTTACTGTTTTCACAAGAACATGAATCCTGTGAACATTGTAGAGTTCTACAATCAGGTTATTTTACTTCCCAGTTTTGATTATAATATTCCAAAGCAAATTGAGTGATTATAGACAAATCTTTATATTATAACATGGCCAGGTTAGCTTGGCAAATTAATCAATAAACATTTATTGGGAAAAGAATTCGAAGTGTGGGAAAATTATACCGATAAATTACTTTTGCAGATGAAGCATAAGTGTTATATCTTGTGGCCGAGTGGATGGGTAGTTGATGTGTGACTTGATGAGACCGCCAATTAGGGAGCAGCGGATCATCGGTTGGAACAGTGACACGAAACCCGTACGAGCAGCCTAGAGTGCTAACCGGTCCTGCGATCTGCCTAGCCCAGCCAATTAAGTCCAAAACACCAATAACAGCCTCAGTGGTATGAATCATTATTTACAAACATAATGGGTTTTTATACAAACCAAAGTAATCAATAACTGAGTATAACTCAAGAATCGTATGATAATAAATCAAAGATCAAAATAAAGCTAATGATAAGAGAAACACAAATATGAATAGTTTAGTTACGTAACAATTGTACAATAGAAAATAGGCATAATACATTGGTTGATAAATAGACCTTAGAGTTACCATTCATAATTCACCAGGGGATATAACAATAAGTATACCCTTCTAATTAGTTATCTAATTTAAAACAAGGAATAATTGAGTGAATAATAATTTTCTATCATTTTCCTTCAGGCTATACAATTAAAAATCTATATATTTAGTGTTAAATGTAATAGAATTTTGGGAAATACTTGTCAAAGTCGGTATCAGAGTAGTTGGTGTTATAAATTTAATAGAATGAATTTTGTATCCATTATGTCTTAAATGAGAATGAATTGAGTCATCGATTAAGTTAAAGAGTTATATAAGAATAAAATGACAGCTTAGACTGATGAGATCTAATCAATCGATTGAAATTTTACCTGAGTAATAGGACATAAGAAAATTTTGATAAAAGAGTAAGGTAACGATTTTTACGAGATTGAAGAGAGCATTCGTTTATGATGTGTACTGACATGATCAGTTAACTTATTAATAAGATAATCCTATTGTAAGCCAACTCGAAGAAACCGGACTAACATGTTGAAACTGCATAAGTCCAGCTAGATTGTCTCCGGTGGTTAGCATTACGGTAATCACGTATTGTGCTCTAATAGTCTTATCAGTACTCATTTTAAACTTCTAATTCCTCAAAGTTCATCAAAAACATACACAGTGTTAATTAACTAATCTAGCAAGTTTTAATGAAACCAAACAAATGAACCACCAAAGTATTGCTAGCATTTGTATCTCACACAACAATTTATTTATCAAATATTAAAGTCAGATCAAGTGTACTAAATGTCCATTCAAATATATATATGGCGTTTCCAAATGGTAAACTTTTAAGACAGCTTCTAGGTATATGTTCTTTCGAAAATGCCTTAAACAAAATTGGTTATTGAAATCTTTTTCAACTAAAATTAAAATTTCACAAATTAGTAGAATTTAAAAGGACATGAGTACATTGAGGAGAAAGTTATATTCATCGTTTGGTTACCTTAATCTTATATATGATGATAAACTTCTGACGGTAGTTTTCTAGACTTTTATAAGTAATCTGGGCACATACAGGATAGGTTTACAATGAATCAGTTGTGTTTAAGTTAGTTATAACGACTTTGAAAAATTAACTGGAACAAGGGAAATGAACTAGGACTGAAATCTAAAGCATGTAATCTCGTTTTTAATGAATTTGGATAGTGTGTCGTAGAGAAATACTGGACGCAGTTTTTTAGTTCATTTAAAAACTATTAGCTAGGCGTAGCTGGAATCTGGTGTCATTGCTCAAAATAGGACTCGAACCCAACACTTTTCTCTTAAAATACCTAAAACATTACTCTTCAGGCTACTAACTCCATATAACAATTATCTTGTGCAATGGGAGTGAATTATACGTTATTTGAAAGGCTTTAAATATGAACATCAACATTGAGATTCAAGTATAGTCAGCTGGCTAGTCGCAATTAGGGTGAAATGCACTTCCTGAGCTACGCTTTTTGATATTATTCAACTTTACCAGAAAACTTGTAATTATATGGTACTATGAATGTAATCCATTCAAGCGAACCTATTCCAGTGGAGATTGGTCGATCAATAACAAGAACCTATAATTTAATCTATCACCTGTTAAATTATCGATCTCATTCAGTAGTCTTAGTGTTAGGGATCTATAAAAGCATTTCAGTTTTTAATTTGCCTTGATTAATTATTTTATCCAAACAACTTTTAAAACCCGGAACACTGGATTGTCGTTTTGTCCAAGTATATAAGCAATAAGAACTCACAATTCCATCACTAAACATATTCAATACCTTCAGGCGACATGGTAGTATCCTATGATTTATGGTTTAAACTATGGTCAATTACCAATACTGCAAGATCATCATCCATTTTCATGAATATTTCTTGTCTTACACGTTATAAAATTAAATAAATTAAAATAGAATTAAATAAAGATTCTTAATTTACTTACCAATAACTGTGTTTTACTTGAACACATTTTTTCATCATTTACGGAAATATTTATCGGTTGACTGAAGTTTGTTTGGATTAATTGAAATAAATATGTTGCTTCCATTAATAGCTCATCAACAGTAATCAAATATTCTGAATATTTTTGTTTCTTTGATGCTTTTTCAGCTGATTTCAGTGCTGCATATCCATTATTCATCAAGATATGATTATTCGTATCTGGCCAACTGATTAATCGTGTGAATGGTAAACTCAAATTTTCATATGATATAGGATCAATTCTTGTCCATTTTAAAGTGAATATATCTGTATGAGGAAACAATGGTTTATCATTATTAATGTTTGGTATCCAAGTAATCAATACACGTGCCTTTCTCTGTTTTGACAATGGGATTACTTTACGCAATAATAAACGGTGTCCTAAAAGATAAGAAATAATATAATAGATAAATAATGACAAATATTTTAAGAAATCGAATATATTACTATGAAAATCACTAGGAAAAAAACTATAATAAGCATAAGTTTATCAAACGAGCATATCTTAAATAATTTACTTAGATCATTTGATATCCGACAATGAGTATATGTTTATTTGACTTAATTGATTTAATGCTTTCTTGATTCAGTATACTTTTTACTGCCAGGGAAGTCCTACTCATTGCCTTCTCGTGGCACTACTGTTGTTTACGAAATTGAGAGGACGAAAAGAGAATGTTCGACGCCTTAACAGGGTTGGTGGACACGGAAAGTCCACCTAGAGGATTTGGAAAACCCTGATTCCAAACCAATGGTGCACATGGGCTCCAGTAACCTGAGGGAACAAATGGTGTATGAATCAATCGTTGGTCACCGACTAACATGGGACTGGATATTTTTACGATGCTCCACTGCTTTGTGGATCGGATCTTTAGGTCAAAGGCTCCGGATGTGTACCCTTAAGAAAATCACATGTTTCGGTTTGGGCACCCGGGCAGTATCATAGCCCTCACATAAATCAAATGAGAATTGTGCGGCGCATGTATATCTGGTTCCCTCCTTGTACCAATATTTATTTGTTTAAATAATAAATAATATACGTTTTATTGGTTAATTTATTATTACGATAATTCCATTGTTAGTTATCTAGATCTGACTTTCATTTGTAAGAAATTACAGTTTCAAACATAACCAGTTAATTAATCAGATTGTATATCTGAATTTTTCTACATAGACAGAAATGAATATTAAATAAGTTATATCTTTTTAGTCACGTCAGTTATATAGTGGAATGGGAATTACTAAGATCTAATTTTAGGTTTCAATCCACAACACATACTGTGCTCCCGATACATCCATTTGATATTTAGTGGAGTGTTGTGAAACAAATATGCAGAATTTTGATGTAAGACACTATTATAATTAAATTATACATGAACATATAAATTGTTGTTGAACTTGTGAAAAACTGGCTGACGTTGTCTATCAACATATTCAGTACAAGTGAATTCGTTAGAATACAGTATACTGTTCGACTAAACAGGTTCCTAATTATGATCTTAATGTTTTGGAGTCATATCGAAGCAAATAATATACTAAGTTTTAATCAGTCGGGTGATAACTCTTGGAGGGGTCTATTTTTAAGGTATATCATATTCTTAAGATTTGGATGTTCATCTAACAAATATGAAACAATGTTAACTGCGCACTTGTCGTAATAAAAACTATATCTCCAATGAAAACTTATATGAAACGTTCTCTAGGTTGACCTTATTTAATGCGTGATATTCAGAGAGTTACATTTACGACTCAATATTCACACACATCACGCCAGGTTTTTGAATGCTTTGAACCAATCAAGTGATAAATCAAATAACTCGTGAAATAAGGTACTATCATCATACATTTTGTTGTTTAAGAAGACACTATAGAGATGCAAATTGAATGAATTTATACATATCTACCATTCGATTCTACTTAAGTGGTCTAGAGGTTAAGCATTTTTTTCTTCGAGACCTAAAGCCTCAAGTTCAATCCCCAATGGTGTCGGGTATGCACAACACTGATGAGTTCTATACTAAAACAAAAAAGCTAACCAGTGGTTCCTGGTTTTCAATATATTTCTAACTTCAGTCACTTGGTGATATCAATAACAATCACCAATCTCCACAAACCTCTATACTAAAAAATCTAATGTAGTTTAATACCGGTAATGTTCAATTTGCTTAAACTAATAAGATAATACATTGATCATTACTAATTACATGTATTTTGGTTGAAATAAACATCAAAACTATAACTTACTTATTTTTTCTGCTTCAAGATTCAAATAAACTGTAGCCTGTTCAACGTTTTCATTGATAGACTGACCAATTATATATAATAATCGTAATCTCAAATATCCATTAAAATAACACGCTTCATTTGGATTAAAAAATATTTTCAATGGAAGTTTCAAGATATTTTCATAAAATGAATCACTAGACTGTAAAATTTTACTACGATTTAAATTTGTATCATTGAATGGAATAAATTTCAAATAGTTGACATAATCATCATCATCATTGGGTAATGTTTCATTTGTATTCTCATTAAACCATACTTTATTGAAGATTAGCTAATAGATAAACAGATATGTAATCAATAATATTTTTGTTTTCAAGTTTTCAATCAAACAACAGAATATGTTTACTCATGTATATTTAACTAAGCAGTAATATTTCATTCAAACCCTAGTAGTATCCCACCACTTTTTGTCACCGACCACATAAGTTATACAAGAATGTGTATGAAAACAAACAGACAAACATTGAATTCTATTGTACCGGTTATTAGCTGGGAACGGCTATCCTAAATTTATTTTCTGCGGATAAGCATTTTTTCGAAATATTTTGATATAAGACTTTTCTGCTTATAATGCAGTTTCATTTGATATTTGAGATATAACAATCAAACCTCGTTTATTTGGTTATTTAAATATGGATAGATGTTAACAGAAGCCATTTGAATATGACTGCATTGTACAGTATATAAATGTCAGTTTCTTAATAAAATTAGTTTAAAGAAACTAGTTAACATTAAGCATTATCATGTTCTGATACAGTTTTAACTTATAAACTGGTTAGAATTAAAAAGTTAGAAGTAAAAAGAAGTAAAAAGCATACATCCGTATACTTCTGTGTTGCAAATCATTGTGCATTGGCTATCAGGAATCAGTAGCTGAGTGGATAACGTGATGGCGTTTGAAGCGAAAGGTACTGGGTTCCAGTCCTATAGTGAACATTGACTCTTAGATGAAGATACATTTAGCTGATGAGTTCCAAATAGGACGAAACGCGCGTCCTGCATTCCACTACTAGTCAATACACATCTTTGCTTACAATGCTTGTCAATTGAGGCAATATCGAGGCAATTCGCACAGTATGCACATATGCTAATAACACACTGATCAATTGCAGTGCTAAACATCAATGGGAACATTCAACCAAGTAATACTAAGTGAATTTAATTAGATAAACAGTTTAAATAAAAATGCAAAATAAATAAGGTTACCGGTTGACTTTTAAGTTAATTTACGTCTAACTATTAAAAATTAGTCTAATTATGTATACAAACTAATTTTAGGAGAAGAGAAAATAAACCGTTAATCGACGATTTGGAAATTCCTGAATTTGAGGAAAAGTGATGATTTAAAGTGTTTTTGTAAAGTTTCCATGCTTTGCATAGATAGAGTCACAACCATTAACTCTTAAGATTGCACAGAAAGCTTATCAAATCACATAACATAACCTATAGTGGTTTGCTACTGATGTATAATTTATTTGTAGATCTACAAATCCTATTTGGTATAATTGACGACAAGTTGATGTATTAAGTATCATGGTGATGATTGGCGGCAACTGGAAAACAAAGCATGATACTTATGTTTGTTGCGAAATTACATTTACCGAACACTCTGTTGGATTTATTTTACGTCAGTTGTCACTTTCCTAAATTTTCAACAACTGAATATGTTCAATGTTCAGTTCACCTACTTCGGCTTTGAAGAATGGATATCAACTCTAGTGCTCTAACGCTAAGTGCGGCTTAGGTCCATAAAAAATTTCCACCTTCTAAGCATAAAATACTTACAAGTCATAAAATTATGATGCACTTTTACAAAGATATTTTATTATTTTTAATATCGTTTCTAATAAATCAATTAATAATTGAATTCACGAGTCGATCTTAGCGAAACCATGACTGAAAACCTGGAAGCACTGGACGGCCATTTCTCTTTAGCATGGGAATCGTTAAAAGTGCGCTCAATTCACGATTCCACACTCGGTATTCGAACTCAGGACCTTCGATTTCGCAATCTAAATTAATCTTGACATATTTAATTATTTTTATTGACTAAAACTGTTATAAATTATGTCACTTAAGCAAAGTAAAAGAATCATTTGAAATATAACAATTTATCTAGTCTATTCGATATTTATACAGATAAAACTACCTGGAAGTATACACTTTACTTTTTACATTCGTTTCAATTAACTTGTACTTCGGTAATTAGTTGTGTCACGAAATAACCTGATAAAATAAGCTAAAAAAGGCTTTGATTTCACGGTAACGTTTAAATTTGTTATTAAAAAAATGCTTTTAGTACGTAATATAGTGTGGACTTTTAAAAAAAGCAGCTTATTGTGTTTTGAATGACCGAAACTTAATGTGTTACATATTTCTAGGACACTATAAGTGAAGTGAAAATTTTTTCGAGAAAAGCTTATTCTAACTAAACATTAAACTACTGAGCTTTATTATCCTATGTTATTTAACTTAATAGGGATCTATTTTGATTATCTACAAGGTGATGACATAAAAAGCTACACGTTACATAAATCTTTTACAAATTGTCTATTTACGTTGACGTAAGCTTCCTTACCAAATAATTTCGAAGATCAAAGAAACCAAATATAACTGTTGAATTATGTCACAATGAAAAGAAATCTAATCGTTACTTTTGTGTGTAATAATGTACGAATAGAAAGTAGATTTTAAATTAAAGTTGCTAACAGTTTTCAAGATCAATCAAGGTTCCTTTTTACCTGAAAATAAAAAAGTCCTAATCTATTTGACTGTATCACAAATAGAATTAAAGATGTTTGTTCAATCCAGAAACCGCTGCTATCTCTTCTGTTGAAATTATATACTAATAAAAAATCTTGTAAACTCTGTGAACGTCCCTTAATTCCATAAATTTGTGAACATTATAATCCTGCGTAGCTTTATAATTGTTATTTTTTAGTGAAAAGCTTACCAACGAGTAATCATATATGCATATCACGTTTTAGCTACGTTAATCTGTACAAACAGATATATACAAATATAAGTCTCATCATGAACTTTAATGTTTGTAAGCTGTTTACATTTTTTCACGTATTTCTCTAAAATCCCTGATTATAACACCTTTATCAGCGTATGATTATGAACAATTAGGGTACATCAACATGTCTGGTAAAGTTCATTGAAATTTTCGGTTTCGGCATCAAAAAGATGATGTCTGAAAATGAATGGAATGGCTCGTTGAATGAAATAACATTAGAGGCAAGTTGGTTCGTAGAAAAATATTTTTAATTGGTATAAGTAATATGGAAATGAAATTGATGAAAAAAACTTTATGTTTCAACACAAAACAGTAGCTTACTTGGTAACCTTCTGGTAATTGTCCGCAATCCACTTTGATATTCTCTTTCCAACTCACAACTATCCAATCTAATTCACGTGAAACTTTGAGATTGTATGGAATAAATTTCGACATTCTCATCGAAGTTAGAAATCGTATGTCTTCATTATTTTTTGCTTGTTTGTAAATTGACAAATGTTGAATAACAGTTTGTGGACCCAATAACCATTTGTCAGAATTTCCGATTTCTACACTTGCAGCACGAATACTTACCATGTAATCACTACCAAGTTTCAAATCTTCAATGATATATGAGAAAGCCATACTATCATTTATAAATATTTGTAAATAATCTAAACCACACTTGCTTTGAGTAATTTGAATTTTGACTGTTTCATTCGCATTATACATATGATCGTGATTCGGATAAGTTGTTATTGAACTATGGGTATGTTCGGTTTCAGCTTCCTGAACTGTAATTAAATAACCACCAGGTATTCCATTCCACTCCTCCGAAGAAAGAGGCTGAATTTTATAAATCGACAAAGTTTATGAAAACAAAAGTTTGAAAATTAAAAATAATTTCAATGAAAACATCTGTGGTGAATAAGCTTATAGTTTTAAATCATTTGATATTATTAACACACTATAAGGCAATGTTAGAAGTTATATATAAAAGCACGAAAACGCTTTCACATCTATTATAAGTTCTATTTTCATACTCTAGTGACTGTCGTAGGGCCTATTTAGCAATATAGTGTATCTCTTTTATTTTATTTTTGCAACTTTGACGTACATTATTAATACCCCTCATCTATGTCACTTTATTCATGGAAGTCCTCAAATGTAAAGTCCTTCCGTTCCCTTATAGTTCCACGTATCTCTGCATACGATGTGTGTAAGCACAGTTCATAAGCAATAATCGAGAAAAATTATAGAGTATTAGGAGGCGTGTCAGCACGCTTGAAATAAAAAAGGAGGCCATTTTAGTGTCTTCAATCTGTTAAATGGAAAAACTATATTTAAGACAGCAATGCTTAAAGAAAATACCGTCTTTGTTACATTTAGCCTAGTTTCTGGGTTGTAAGTGAATCTTTGGATGAACCAAAATGTTTTATGGAAAATAATTATTGTATATAAATTATATATGTAAAAACTGGATTACTAAAGATGATTATCGTCACTATAGAAATGCCCCCTAATAAAATTCCTCTTTAACATCTTATTTGACAATATATATATACACTTATTGAGCAATCAGAATAGATTTTAAAGGTTAAAATCACGAGTCATTCTAAGCTACACCACCATTAAAAACTTGAAAGTGCTGAAAGGCCGTCTAGTCCTAAAATAGGAATTTTCAACAGTGCGCATCTAAGATTCAACTCGCGGGATTTGAATTCAAGCTTTCAGTAGTGATCTAGCTTAGATCGACTCGTGATTTCTACTGTGAAAATAGTAAAATCTCCATAATCTCCATAGTGATAATGGTAACTGATATATTGAGTAAATAAATGAAAAATGTATATTTTTACTTTACTTATAGTACTACCATTGGGGAAGTTGCAAACTAAAGACTGAATTTCTACTACGTAAATAATTGACTATTTAAAGCAAATTATGATTTACACAGAAAAACACTTTGTTCTCTTAGAACAAGAAGCTATTAATTTACTCGGAATTCTTCATTGTTATATCTTTCATTATTACTTTTAACTAATAATGACAGTAAAAATATAAGCTACAATATAAATCTAAATAAGATATACACTGTAAAAACAATTATTTGGATTGATTAATCTTTGTACTGGTTGTTTGATGTTTAGGACTGTAATCGATCCGTCTCTTATTGGCATATGTGCATCCTATGCAGATGGCCTCCGAGACAAATAACTCTATGGCGATCGAAGCAAACCTTACTGAGCCCGAGTCCTTGACTGAATATAAACTCTGGGATGTAGGTACATAAATAAGACTAAACGCGTGTCCTGGATTCTACAGCCAGTCACCATCCATCTCTGCTTAGAATTATTAAGACTATTTTGAAATTTCAAACAAATGGTTCAACAATAATAACTTATATGATGAACATCTTTCAACTATTTGTCCTAATGAAAGTTAAGAACTTTTTTTGATAGTTACTTTTAAGTAAATCATTTTGTGTGAAATAAACATTTTTGATTACACAATAATTCACCAAAAACAGAACACTTTTGCTGAACCAATCTTTCTCATCTATGTTTCGAAGGGTAAATTCCGTTTAAAATAATATACGTTTTAAAAATGTTCAGTAAACTACTTAGAAACTGAGTGTTTCGAGTAAATCAAATAAATGATAACTATTAAATAATACTGAATAATGAAATAAACGTTCCACTATCTAAGGTAATACATCACTAATGAGATCACATTAGTGACGTACACAAAAATAATTAATGGTCTGTCATTGATTTTAATAAGACTATCCTCTGTCTGGTATCAGTATAATTATTAAATATAAAAAATTAGGCTATAAAAAGATGTCTAACTCAATTGTAATCTTCAGGCATCCCATATCCAATCTAAACCAATTGCATGGTAAACACTTAGAATCTTACCAACGTTTTTATTGATCTTATCTGTATTTTATTAACCGAGTTCAAAAATAAAATAAATGGCAATATATATTTGAATTTATTGGTGAACCATTTAGCTATGTGTTAACTCCAGTGAAGTAATATAAATTCTAATAGTTGAATTCATGAGTCAATCTACGTTCACTAATGTCTAGCCTCAAGATGAATCTGCTGAAGTTTTAGTGAGAGGCCGTTACCAGTGGAGTTCAATCCGTGTCAAATAAAGACAGTTATGCACTTCAGGCAATGGATGAAAGGTTGCGCAAAATCATGGATAGATTGAAATTAAACATTAACAACATTGAATGCCAGCTCAGTGGTCCAGGGGTCAAACGTTCGCTTGCGAGACCGAACTTTCTGGGTTTGAGTTCCGCACGTGAAACCGTGAATACCCATTGCTGAAGAGTCTTATACTAGGTCAAAACCACCGTTCTATGCTTCCAGGTTTTTAATGTTGTTTTAGCTTAGATCAACTCACGAATCCAAACATAAAAATTACTACATTCTTCACAAATCCCTATTCTGATAACAATACAAATTTATAGGTTCCAGTTATTACATATAGTTGCAAGCCAGTTTGTGCTGTAACGATGTGCTTGAATAACAACTTATACAGTTTGAAACCAGTGATATTTAAAATACCAATTTATTTAATGATGTTTATCAAAAGGGGGATTTTGTGGAGATTTCATTAATTTTATATGGTCGAAATCATGAGTCCATTGAAGCTAGACCACCATGGAAAACCTTGAAGCACTGGACGTCCGTTTCGTCTTATTATGGGACTCCTCAACAGTGCGCATCCACGATCCCGCCTCGCCGTTGGATGCCAGCTCAGTGATCTAATGGTTAGGCGCTCGCAAGCGAGACTGGTAGGTCCTGTGACCGAATCTCGTGAAACGGCCGTCCAGGTCTTCCAGGTTTTCCATGGTAGTCTAGCTTCAATGGACTCATGATTTCAACTATATAAAATTTCAATGATGTATTAAAGAAAGGAAAATAATAATTTAACATATTATGAGTTACAAATAAACATAGGAATGTTGATATTCTTTAGTATAGAATTAAAGTTTTATAGAAATTTCAATTCATAAATTATTCCAAACATACCTGCCATGTGATTTTCATTTGATCTATATTCAACATATAAGTAGATACTGATGATGGCGACACTGTTGGCGGTTTACAATCAATTTTAAACCATTTAGATAGATTTGAATGATATAAAATTTTACTAGCAATTTGTTTATAGTTACCAAAAAGTAAACCAATCGGTTGCCAAACTTCAATTCGATAATAATTAGAACTGGATAAATTAAATAATTTAAATGATAACGTCAATTGAACTCCTTGATAAACATTGAATTTAGTCAATTCTGTTAGAGATAATTTCAATGATGAATTAATAGTATATTTATAGGCTGTGATTATTCTCTAGAAGAGTTTTTGTTTTACAATTTGGGGAATATAAAAAGGGGAAAAAACAAGAAAATAATGATTTATTCATTATGTTAACTTATATATCAGAACAGAAAAAAGGGAAAAACGTTTCTGATTTCAATTATATGACATTTTATTGACAAGATGGTGAATTGGCACCAGTATGCGACAAATTAATTAATGTATAGAATAGAAGAAAATCTTTTTATGAATGTTTGTCAAGTTTGAAACATTGACAGATAATTATAAAAAAAAGAACTACTTATTAGAATTAAAATTGTTAATCATTATGAACTGTTTCCTCAATGTACGAGTAAATCATCAAACTGCATCACTACACAAGACCCTAACTTGGAATTCTGAGTAGAAGAGGAAGAGAGGAAGGCGAAAGAACACATTACGCCGGTAAATAGAAGCAGATATGAAAAGGATGAATAACAACTGGAAGGGATTGCCGAAGACAAGGTTGGATGGAGAATGCTGGTGTGCAGCCTATGCTCCTCCACGACGGGTAACAGGCGTAAGTGAGTAAGTAATCAATGTGAATAATTACTTTGAGAAAGGTATAATGATGATGTTACAAACTAATTTTTGCATATGTATGTATGCATGTATGTATATGTGTATATATATGTATGTATATATGTATACTGTCATTGTGTGAACTTATATTTTGTATTAATCGTTTCATAGATCATTGTTTAATTCTGGTATAATTTAAAATAGATACACACTATACGATCTCTCTAGTATTCAGAATTTGTTACTTGTTAATGTGTATTGGTACTTTTCAACAAAATATTGAACAAAGTATAGCTTTGATACTTTAAACTACTCTTAACTGTTAACGAATATGAGAAACAGGGAAACATTTCCACAGTTGAAGAACATACGGAACTCAAGACATCTGTCTACCAATATCAATACGAACGTCACGACCATCGTTAGGAAGGTACAAATATTTATAAACAATTGTCTACTCAAGATACTCAATGTCTGTTGTCTGGAAACCATCAGCAATAGCCTACTGTGAAAGGGAACAAACCAACTTCCAATTCAAAAGTAAATTAGGAAAAGACGTTGGAATTGGATAGGACATGCATTACGGAATTCATCAAACTGTATCACGAGGCAATCACTAACTTGGAATACTGAAGCGAAATAGAACAGAGGCAGGCTAAAAACACACTGCGTTGAGAATTCGAAGTAGACATCAAAATAATGAATAGCGACTGGGAACAATTGGAAAGGATTATCCACGACAGGGGTGAGTGGAACATGTTTGTGGTCGGCTTATGCTCGTCGACAAAGGGTTATAGGCATTATCAAGCCAGTAATGATCTGACCATCATATAATTTTTGAAAGGTTGAAAATTTTACTGATACGTTAAATTTCTTTATCATACAGTTATATTTGGAAAAAAATTAACAACTCCTGATGCTTCTTTTGAAATCTCATCATATCCAACAAACAGAGTAAATATAAATGTTAACTGATATGTAACCCTTATAGAGGAAAATACTGTGCTTGGATTTCCGAAACTTTTATGCTCATCAAAAGTGAGTACATTAATATTTTTGTATAAATTTATGAAATATCAAGCAGGAAGTGTAAATCTTCAAAGCAGTATTGGAAGCAACTCAAAATAAAAAAGTGGATATCACTTAGGCGCTTATTTAGAAATAACTAATATTTATTATCTATGATCGATGTCAACTGACTACTACAAATAACCATCAGATAATCTTGGACTTACTTTTCATCTATTTTAACTTTCAAAAACTGTTCATCTGAAGATGATTTCCATTTTATTTAAGTCTGTGATTCTAGCTTACTGTTATGATAACAATAGGTCTTCAAAATCGTTATCAAAATTTGAAGTATCTATCCAAATAATGTAGTAAATGGAGGATTTAAATCTTGAACTACCCCTAGCATCATTAAATTTGACCTGTCTACAACGATGACATCGGAATAAGTCGTATATATCAAACACGATTTTGAGTAACAAAACGAAAAATACTAGTGAATAATAAAGTACTTTTTTGGATTTCATACTATACCTGGTGACAATGTTGTATAGTTACTAACGGATGTTAGACTTGAAACTCTTATTCCACTCCTGAAATCCTTTATTTTCACTGAATTATGATTCAAGATAGAATTTAATCATAAATACTTTTGATAGTTATAAAACGTTTTGAATGGATGCTCAATATCGTGGATTGGTTGCAGTTAGACATTAACACCATCGGATGCGGAGTCAGTGGTCTATCGGTTAAGTGCTCTGGCGCACGAGACTGGTAGGTCCTGGGTTGGAATCTCGCAAGGCGGGATCGTGGATGCGAACTGCTGAGGAGTCCCACAATAGAACGAAACAGCCGTTCAGTGCTTCCAGGTTTTCCATGGTAATCTAACTTCAATTGACTCATGATTTTAACTATATAAAAATAAAATGTTTTAACTGGTAATTTTTACACTTGGTATCTTTTACCATTTTAACATTGCCATTATCTTTCATTTTTTTGATATAATTACTGACCAATATATTTGTCTTTTTCTCTCACTAAGAAAAGCGCTTGAACAGAATTTAGCTAAACTCATTATTGATTGGTTACATTTCTAACTCTTAAGTGAAATTGATAATTTATATAAAGCTGAATTATTCAGTGAAGAAAAATGGTTTTTTATTTTAAGGATAGTATCAAATTTCCAGATAACACCAAGAAATCTGCTGCTTTCATCTGTTTAATGACGATATATATAGGAATAAAATAGAATGAATGTAAATGCTAGACTTCTGCCACGTATAATATGATACATAGAACATTTTATTCTGAGGTAATGTCACTTGATGTATATGACTAAATAGTTTTGCTGATATCGAAATCGAAACTGATAATTGATGTAAACCTGTATAAAACGACTTATTATTCATGTGACTTGCTTACATGCTTACAGTAATTTTTCAATTCAATAAATATCAAATAACCGTGTTGATTAACCTTGTATTATAATTCTACATCACACAATAAAGATTTATCCAGTCGATTTTACATAAAAGAATTATGAGAGAGGATGAAATTAAGATGATCCAGATAAACAATAATGAAGTATTTAGAAATATATGGATTTAGGCAATCGATTAGTTTAACAGTCCAACATGTTAACCAGTGTATAAAGTGAAATAGGTCAACTAAAAGAAACATACATTTCATGAACATTTGATTAACTCAAAGCTTAGATTTATTTTATTGAATTACTACGGCTCTTAGAAACGATATACAGTTTATTTGAAAGGTATTCATCTAGTAATTTTAAAAGGGTGCTATTTCATGTTAAGTTTTAGTTGAGTTTCTAAAAAAAGAGCTTTTGATTGTCCTTCGTTTATCCAACTTTGTACGATAATATTTAGAAATACAATATTGAGTTTCTATACTCCCATTCACATCGTAAATTGCACCATAGTAGCAGTCAAAATGAAAATATTATATTTATAGAAATGCATAAGTATATAAAATTTGTCGTAAATGAGAGATTTTAAAAACTGAATATCTTGATCATAGTTAGACGTTGAATAATTGTTTAAATTTGATTCTACTGACACTGATTATATGTATGCTGGATATCAGAGTTGACTTCTATCTTAAATTATCCGGCGCTACATTTTGTGTATAATCACAAATATTACTGGAAAAAATATGTAAACAATGGGAGGTAACGGTGAATGAAAAAAAGAAATTAGTAAAACGTAAATTTCATCAACAAAATGAAAATTGTTAACGGTGGGAAGTTCCGCTGATAAAAAATTACACAAGTAAAGGAACATATATGTGAAGGAACAAGTTTAATCACTAGAAGAACGAATTAATGAATTATCCTCTGGAAAATCATTAAAGAATAATTTAAATTGCTATCACCATTGAAAGTATCTAGATGAGAGCAGCTATGTTGGTATATTATTCGTCAGGTGCAAAATTCGCAATCACTTCACGACTTACATATCAGTGATCTAGTATTACATATGTTTATTAAGAAAAAGCAAACTGACCCAAATTTATGTACAGCATTGAAGTGCAGCCGTCAAGAAATATTACTTTTACCCCACGATTATACTTTAGTCATAGGCATATATCTCCATTACATCGAAGATTTCCTCAATCATAGTCTACATCTGGTATAATAAATAGTTACACTGTCATAAAATATCGAATTTCAATTAATTAAAAAGTAGTTACCCAATTCCAGGAGTCTATTTGATCATTTCCACTTAAAGCTTGATAACCGTTCAAAGGAATTTTTTGTATTTTTATTGGCCATTTACATTTTTCAATTAATTTTATTGTTCGTGAAAAATCGCCTACAACTGGGGTAGATTGGTTGTAATGAATTGAATGAGAAATATCTTCATCTAATTTTAGGTTGAATTCGATTGAAAATTCTGCATTATGAGCCTGAAATGAGGTACGTAAGAAAAAACGTTGATAGAAAAGATGAGCATTCTTGAATTTTTTTTTAGGGAAATAGTTATTTCAAAGTTTGTCGTCTGTGGTTAAAAGTTCCTGAAAATCTTGTTCGGTGTTATAGTAAAGTTAATCTGCAGCTTAAAAACAGATAATGTTTGAAGTAACTAAAACCTCTAAATAAGAAGACAGTTCTAAACGAAAACCTGTAATAAAACAGAAAGTTATGACTTGAAGTGTTTTTTATAATATAAAATTTAAGCATAGTACCAATTTCAGGAATATATTTTCCCAAGTTGAGGAATGCTGATCAGTTGCTAACTATCGTCATCAGATGTGTCTCATTACAAATAAACCATACAGAATAACACAGTACATTGTACATGAATATAATGCAGCCTAGATAACACATATAAGACAGTTATTCGTACATGATCAATAATATGTGAATGAATAAAGTAATGATAAGTATAGCGTTTATGCTAGACAGAACCTTTATTACAAAAATTCGATTAAAAATGATTTGGATTCGAAAATGGAATTCAAAATCATCTTACTGATCCACAGTTATCGAGACAAAGACTTGTTGAGGTGTTTTCCTAAAGCTTCTTTAATCAATGTTATACAAAGTAGACGTCGTTTTTGATGACGTGTCTTGCCTCAATCTTTCTGACCATTTAAGAATATAACATGATTGTTTGCTTTTTAGGAATGTTCAACTGCTCGATGGCTTAATCCACTTCAGCAATCAGTGAAGAGACTGCTAGGTATATAAAATATATTTTTTTACAGCATGAGAGAAGTGTTGAATAAACATTGAAAAGAATGATGAAATAATGCTACATAACTAACTGATGGTTAACTGAACTTAAAATCTCAAAAAGATAACACATAGACTGTTGTAATGAAAGGTATTGACTTTTAATCCCAATGTGAAAATCCATCTGTTCCATACTAAACGTGTAACAAACTATTTATATTGGAGGAACCCATACAGGATTCTCATTTGTCAACAAAGATTGATCGAAATTCAGTCGTAATTGTCAACATCAAAATTACTTCAACTTTTAGTAATTATTATAATATAATAAATTGACAGAAAAATTAACACAAAAAGAAATCCAAAAATAATATCAGTGTATTTCGTATATTTCATCATCATTAAAGTTTGTTTCTTTTTTTATTTCTTTTTAACAAAACAAAAAAAGGTATCTCAGGTGAAAGAAAGGAACAATAACTTGTTTATTTTGTTCCTTCTTCACTGTGTTATTTTCTAAAATGTAAACAGCAAACATCGGAAAATAATAAATCATGATTTTGTTTGCTTTGAAAGACAAATAAATTTTTGACATATCTCCCTATATGTATCAATGATCAGTTACAAGTAGAGTGGTACAAAAAGTGTAATCAAACGAATTATATATATATATATACCACAGTATAGTAGTTTTTATGTGACCAAATGAACATGTAATCATGATTAATGAACAAGATAAAGTGGGGGAATGTGCATAGATTCAGATCAAAGAAATTGACTGAAAAGAAAATCATGAAATTTGATATAGTTTGACAACAGAAAAGGAAATCATTCTAAGGAAACTAAATTTTGTAAAATTATAAATTTGAATTCATATAAATAAAATGAAAGTGATAGATTTTTGTGGTTTGAAAATGGTTAGTATCAAAGACTGAATGTAGTTCAACAGTCGAGGAAAAGGAAGGAATACTGGACAGCCGTTTTTTTAGGGCACTCATTAGGAATCCTACTGACGACAAAGTCAGGGTTAAGATTCCAGATCTAAAAAAGTGCTCATTACTGAGGAACTTCTAGCAATAGACAGTAACTGGTACAATTCACCTATTTTGAAAGTGAGATAATTAGCATCGATGCCAGCGTGAATAGGCGTCTAGAGTTATAGATTGGTAACAGTTAGGAATTCGAACTAATCCATTACAATATGAACTATGATCAAACATAAACAGAAGAGGAAAATAAACGACCTATACCCCTTATAAAAGTGGCACAATTAACTTTCAGTTATGATAATTTTTCACAAATGAGATTCGAATGTAAGATATTCCTTTATAATGAAAGAATTTTACTAACGTTTGAAATGCTGTACGTTGATTACGGATACATTGAATGTGAAAACATTTATGATTCCAGATGCATTTAACTAAACGTATCTGGAAAATATTCTGATTATATATTCTTACAATGATAAGCCCTAATAAGATACATTTTAAGTAGGTACTATATTTTAATATTTAAACAGACATATCAAACTATTAAACGTTTAAGACAGCTTTAAAACAAATGTCCTTTATATAAACGTACATATTATTTTGCTTTACATAATGATCTTATGTTAATTAATGATAATGGTAAATAATGATAAAACATGAAAACAAACCACTTATGGTTTATTCATATGTTGATTTCCTGTTGTTCTTAACTAAAACAAACTAATAGCATATCAAATTCATACAATTCATATAACAAATGAATGCACATTGTTATTATTTTTGTTGATTACAACAATGAAAAAAGCATAAATATTAACTAAGTGGAAAATAAATGTGTTTCCTTCTATTTATACATTGGTAAATCGTTATTATAGTGAAGCTAATTGTACTCAGTTACATCGATTCAGGTTGTTTGCTGGAAAGATATGTGGATCTTTGCGTATTAACCCTCAATAGTTGAATTTATGAGTTAATCTAAGATAGATTAATTGAAATTATGCATTAACACTGTTGGATGTCGGCTCGATGGTCTAGAAGTTAAGCGTTCACGTGCGAAACTGAACATCCTGGGTCTGAGTCCGACGCGCGGAATCGCAGATATATACTGCTGCTAACCTCTGTTTCATAGACTGCCTATTTGAAAAAATTATCCAACTTGAACAGATGAAATCATGTTTAACATATTATCTTATCATTATTTCATCGATATTCATTAGCTTTAAGTAGTTTCATAAAAATTTATTCACTACATTTAGATCAAGTTTCACCGGATGTCTATTACACATTTACAATAAGTTATGATGTAGTGCCGTGCTTCGTTAATAGTTCACCTCGATAACTGTTATAATACAAGTCTTAACGGTGCATAATATCAGAAGGCAAAGAGAAGCGGTAACTACAGTTTTATTGACAAATGACGTAGGCCAGAAAGTTATAAGCACAGACATGTGATAAATGGGATAAAAAGTGAACACACACCTGCGCTCATACAAAAGTGGTCAGAGTTAATAAGTGGATAATTAACAAGGTGAAAACTTGACTGATGATGGATATGTGAATTGTTTTGTCCAGGAGTAAGAATAAGGTATATGGGCTTAAGATAACAACCGATCAGTTAATTTCAATCGGTGGTACATTTACTGACGAGATAATATCCGGAACACATCCTTACGAAAAAACCAACCCCACTATGTTGTTCACAGAAAACAATGTTGTTTTTAATAAAAAAACAAACGAAAACGATTCTTACATTTATCTTTGTAATAACCGGTTCACTGACAAACTGTATACGAGTGCTATTTAACCATTTAAATATTTTCTCTTGATGTTTATTTAAATGTATTAAATTAATCCATTGAATAAAATTCTTCTCTGTATATTGATATTGATATTTCAACTTTGGTAATAATGATGTAATGCCTAATTGTAAAGTAACTGGACTTAATCCAGCCGTATTCAATGCAAACATTCTTATTTGATAAATGTGTTTATGAATTAATGATTTAATATGTACACGATAAGTTGTTCTATTTAAACTATAATAGCCAGCATACTTTCTATTGTCATATGTTCTAGTTTGTATGGAATGAATAAAATTAGAATCTTTTGTATAAGCTGTTGATAAATGGTGTGTTATTGGATATTGATGAATTGATAGTTCATCGTCATAACTACTACTTTGGTTAATTCTTTGATTCATAAAAGCCAATGTTGTATTATATCCACTTTCTATATGATCATATTGATGGTGAATGTCAATCAATGAATCAATAGGTTTTATCTAAAAGGAAGAAGAAAGTTAACAATTAAATTTGATAAAAGTCACAAATAAATCATAAGTATTACCTTATATGTCGCAAATACATTCCCATGAAAGGAAGGTATTTTGGAGAAGTCTATGATGCTTTATTTTCATAGTTGAAAGCATGAGTCAATTGAAACTAGACCACCAAGAAAAACCTCGAAGCACTGGACGGTCGTTTCGCCTTATTATGGGGCTCCTCAGAAGTGCGCATCCACGATCTCGCCCCACGAGACTCAAACCCAGGACCTGCCAGTCTCGCGTCAGAGCACTTAACCGATAGACCACTGAGCCGGCATCCAACGATGTTAATGTCTAACTTCAACCAATCCACAAAGTTGAGCAATCGTTCGCTAATTGTCTTCAGTGAGTTGATATTTCACAACAGACGTGGTTTGAACTCCACTGGTCACTGCTTCTCACTAGAACTCCAGGAATTATGTCTTGGAGTCAGTCACTAGTGAGCATATGATGCTTTATTTGTTTCATTTATCTTGATCAAATAAAAATCACAAATGTAACTTATGTGTGCTTTTCGAAAAGATACAGAATGCCGTAAAGCGAATATGTTAAGTAGGAATATTTGTCAACACATACTATTATCAACTATGGAACAATAAGAAGGTTTGATTACTAAACAGTTATTATTGTCATGTTATGAGATTCATCAACAGTACACATCCACGATATTACCAGCAATCAAATCTAATATCATATGATGTTCAAAAGAAATAATTGTTCTTAGATCATCAATGTAAACACTGATAACTCATCATCCAAAATCCAGTCCATCCTTTACCCATTAAATGTCACTGATATCTAACTAATTTATTTAAGGTCTCGATAATGCAATGAGCAGACGAAGTTTATCAGAATTATGTGATATATTTGCGCAATACATTTCGAACAGTCTGATCACACATATACTTGTTAAGACATTTTTATATGAAAATTAAAAGGTCAACTAGACAGGTTAACGTAAGAAATTAAATAAAGTACACAAAAACAATGTGATGACTACTCTGGATAATAAATCAGCATTACCAGGGTAGATTAAGGGTAAGAACAAATTGTTTTTGAACACATAAAGGGGTTTTTAATTTCCGTATAGCCATGGCTTCAATAAACCTTAGTATACGTCCTTGAAGGCTTTTGTGCAACACTACAAACGCTGATTTGATGTCAACCTTATGACCAGTTTCAACCAAATGTTTCGCAGTGGAGGAAGATGTCTGTCCTGTGATCTTATTTGACCATATGAATTCATTTGGTTCTGCAGAAATTTAGGTCACAACTTGTTTGCAAAAATTCATCAATTCATCTTGGAATCACTTGGTATTGTTTGTTTGGATCTTCCCAGAGTGAACATCAACTCTGAGATGCAGGTACATCCAGCTGACGAGTCCCAAATAGGACGAAACGCGCGTCCTGGATTCCACTGCTAGCCACTATCCATCTCTGCTTACCATGCTTGTGAATTAAGGTATATCGAGGCAATACGCACAGTATGCACATATGCCAATTAGAGACTGACCAGTTGCAGTCCGAAACACATCGATGGGAAGATCCAAACAAACAATACCAAGTGAATTCAAACTTCACCCCATCGCACAAGCAAGTGGCTATCAGGACTCAGTGGCCGAGTGGATAACGCGATGGCGTTTGAAGCGAGGGTACTGGGTTCGAGTCCCAGAGTGAACATCAACTCTGAGATGCAGGTACATCCAGCTGACGAGTCCCAAATAGGACGAAACGCGCGTCCTGGATTCCACTGCTAGCCACTATCCATCTCTGCTTACCATGCTTGTGAATTAAGGTATATCGAGGCAATACGCACAGTATGCACATATGCCAATTAGAGACTGACCAGTTGCAGTCCGAAACACATCGATGGGAAGATCCAAACAAACAATACCAAGTGAATTCAAACTTCACCCCATCGCACAAGCAAGTGGCTATCAGGACTCAGTGGCCGAGTGGATAACGCGATGGCGTTTGAAGCGAAGGTACTGGGTTCGAGTCCCAGAGTGAACATCAACTCTGAGATGCAGGTACATCCAGCTGACGAGTCCCAAATAGGACGAAACGCGCGTCCTGGATTCCACTGCTAGCCACTATCCATCTCTGCTTATCATCTTGGAATCAGTTATTCATGTTCTCTTGAATGTTTTATAAACATTATTTCAGTATTAAATCCATCATGACTTTTTGCAAAACTACCAAAATAACTCTCTTATGTTTACATTCCTCACAATCACAATCTACGCTTTGTATCAGCCATCATGTAGCTGAAGAGTGTGCAATATTTTGGCATTTATCATTAGCAGTAAATACTGATAATTTTATTCAAAGCTGAATCAAGGGAAAAATTATTCGTGTTATTAACTTAATATATTTTGCTGTCACTCATAGACTATATCGAATTACGTAGTACGATAGTATTAAATGACTTATGTTCAGTCAAAATGTAACTGATTTTAAATGCTTGACACATTTTTATATTGATTGTTTGAATCTTTCAACTAATGTTTAGGACTGCAATCGATCAGTTTCGTATTGGCTTGTGTATCCTGTGTAGATTACCTAGATATTGCTTGAAGTCACAAGAATCATAAACAAAGACGGATGTTGACGTCCTGGCTTCCACTACTAGCAACCATCCATCTTTACTTATAATGCTTGATATTTTTAAGGCTAACCTACCATTGAAATGATTTACATGTTCTTTTACAGTTACTATAAATCTATTAACTTCTTAGATATAATTTTTATTGCTCACTGACTTTATTTGTGAATATATTCATAATCCATTTTATTGAATAAAAATGTGCGGTAAATTTCTTTTTAGAAAAAAAAAGAAACAGGAAGAAATTTAAAATTGACCATAAATTATTGGAACGTCGGTCAAATTTTCACACTATAGTTTATTTATCTAATAGTAAGTATCATGGACAATTGAATATTTCAGGTTTACTATGTTCCAACACGTGTATCTTATTTCTTTATTAGTGAATTATGCTTAATGCTACTCATGTATGAATTAATTATTTTGTTTTAAATATATAAATATGTAAATTAATTTATACACTGATAAAAATAAGAAAACAATCTTCTAAACAGTTAATTTCTTTTGTGTCATTTAACATTTTTATCAAAAAGGGTGCTTTGTGGAGATTGTAGTAATTTCATAGATGAATTCAATCGAGACTGATCAGCAGTGCGCATCCACGATCCCGCCATGCTAGATTCGAACCCAGTACTGTCGGTCTCTTGCGCAAACACTTGATCTCTAGACCACTGAGCCGGAATTCAACGGTGTTAATGTCTAACTTCAACCAATCCACTAACTAACGCCACCGTACAGTATTGTCTTCAGTGGGTAACTGTCTTCTAACAGACACGATTGAATTCCACTGGTCACGGCTTTTCCTGCGAGCGGCCATCCATTGCTTCAAGGTCTGGCTTTAATCGACTTATCGATTCAACTAATGAATTACTTAACATTTTCACTAGCGACATAAATGAATGTCTTGTTTGATTGAGATGACAATTAAAAAAATATTTCAAACTACGAACTTTTTCGTGTACGTTCTACATCTTAAATTTACTAAGTTTATACATTAGCTCTTATTCTAGTGTTCAGTCGATTAGCAAAAGCTATTACGTGATGAAAGCTAAAAGAGATCAGCTAATCAACATTAGATTGGATTAAATTATATTACAACTTGAGAGAACTTAGGGATTTAGAAAAATTTTGACTTAGAAAAAAATCCGTAATGATCGTTTAGTTGTATTCAAGACTAGTTATCTATATGTATCTGCTACTATATTCATGTTTACGTGCGAACTGGAAACAAGTGCTCTTCTCACCAAGCGTCCAATGCATCACCCACTGATATTTTGACTTAAGACAATCCGTTGTACAATCCAGTAACTGTTTAGACGCAATGATTCAGTAAATGACGAATTCACCAAATCTGATGAAAGCATTGGATTCGAGCTCAGATGTGAACTCTAACGTAAATGCAGGAACATCTAGTTGACCAGTCCCGAACACGATAAAATCAGCATCTTGGGTTCCACTTTTAGTATATATTCAGCTTTACTAAAAACTTGTGGGTATATATTAAAATCGATGTAATTTGCTTGGGACATACACGAAGCTCGTGAAACTAATTCAATAAATATTTAATTTTTGCACTCAACAGAATTTTGGATTACTTAATAATCCCTACCAGGTTTTCTTGGTGATTTACACAATTCTTCCTTTATGTGAATTCTCTTGCTAATATAATACCATTCGCCGTTTTAATAGAATGTAATCAGTAATCATATAAAAGCAATTCAGTAGGACCTAATAAGCTGATTTGACGTGGTCAGTATCAAAATATATAATTGTAACCAAGTTATGTGAAGAATTTTGTTCTTTTAAACTTTGTTTATATAACTGCAAATATCTTTGATAAAATTGATTGATTTTTATGCTAAATTGAAATTAGTTTAATTTCTGAATATAAAGTACTGGGCTCCAATTCAATGGTTCGAGTTGTGAATGTATTTGGCATGAGGACTTGAAAATTCTAGATTTGTTAGGTAGAGATTGTTCTATGTTAAAACATTATTAACTAGTCTACATTTTATTGAGTTTCTGTTAATCGCGGTCAAGACGGTGGATTTACAAACATTCCTACTATGTCCTATGTTGACTTCGACACATTGGACACTGTAGTGAAATATTAAACTATGTTTTCATGTCAGGTGTTTGGTAGTAGTCAGAGGCAATTCTTCAGGCTATTAAGGACTCGTTAAGAGTGCGCGCGCGCCACCACCATTCGCAGTCTCAGATGTTGCCAGTGAGCTATCGCCTCAGCGAATAACTTTTCGAATGACTAAGATGTTTGCATTATCTGTTCAGTAAGCAATATGGAGAACAATTTTGGTCAAAATAATGGCGCTTTGTATAGAGATCAGTCTCCCCAATCTTGCCATTATTTTATAATTAGAAGTAAGTATTACTAAACAATGAGAAAAACACTATCACGTAAAACAATGAAGATGTGTACGTTATTGCCAATAACTTCATGTTTTTTCAAGGGTGTCCCGTTTGAACTCATTCTCTTGCCAAATTATTTATAAATTAAAAAGCTGACAGAATAAAACGTTGTATAACGTACCTCAGTATAATGTAGTATATATTGTAATATTTTTCCATTTGGTTTTTCTGGTGCATTCCATTCAACAATAAGACCATCTCTACCGTCAGTATTAACCATTAAATTGATAATTCGAGAAGGAACTGAAATTTGGAGATTTCGAAAGTTATTTTTAATCATTTAGGATCCAAGGAATTATTAAAATTATTATTCTGTATTGAAAAAAATATGTTAAGCAGAATGATTGCAGAACAGTGTACACAAAAGTAACTTCAGCTACGCATAGTTAAGAACATGTTAAAGAAAATACTGAAGAAAGTTGAATGTTTGATTCACAAATATTTTGTAGTAACTAATTTCCCTATCAACTCTTCCTCTAGCTCTTCTAGAATTACTGCCGGTCCCAAACCCGGGTAAAGGAGGAGGGTTGGGCATGGGGTTAGCTACCCCATCCTGTAGAAAAGCTAACTCGCTAAAAAAACGCTAACCAAAAAAATAATTCAAACCATTTAAACTCTGCCCTGGGAGTTGAAGGAATAATTATGACATCTCATGATGAAAGCCGAGATTTTTCAGACGTCACGAAGCCTGTGCTCTTTCTAACAACCAGATCATCAATTTTTACAGGTACATGGGACATCCGGACAATGTGGGAGACCGAAAGTACCAATCAAATAGCAATGAGAATGAGGAGATACAAACTTGAAACCAACGAAACCCATGGGACACAAGCTGGACAACAAAGGCTAGATATGGGAGAAATGCTGGTGTACTCTGATCACGAAGAGCAAAATGCTCCACACACTCAAGGAGTTCCTCTAAAGCTGTCCAGAGAAGCACGAAATACACAGACTCAATTAATTTGTGATAACTCTCAACAGCAGGTTCCGAGCCTTACAAGATCGACTGAAGGAAGACGAAGATTATAAGCCACAACAAGCATCATCAAAAAGAATGGATCTCTACAGAATCCCTAAACAAGATTTAGGAACGGAAGAACAAGAAGATAGTTAATAAAAACAGCCAAACAGGAACAGAGCACGTCAAGGCGTAAACTGAATACACAGAAGCAAGCAAGCAAGTGAGTAGCATTAAAGCCAACAAGCAGAAATACATAAGAGAACTAGTAGCAACGGCGGAAAAAGCTGGAAGAGAAGGGAATATGAAACAACTATATGATACAACGAAGAAACTGACAGGGAGATATAGCAAACTGGAGAGACCGGTCAAGGACAAAGGAGGAAAGACAATCACGGAGATTCAAGAATAGAGGAAAAGATGGGCAAAATACTTCGAGGAACTGCTGAATAGGCCAGCTCCATTGAATCCACCGGACATCAAAGGAGGACACACAATCCTTCCTATACATGTCACTCAACCAACGATCGAAGAAAACAGGATGAATATCAGACAAATGGAGAATGGGAAGGCAGCCCGATGTGACAATATACCAGCTGAAGCACTGAAGTCAGGCATTGAAGTGACTGCAAACATGTTCCACATCTTATTGAAGAAAGTTTTTGAGGAAGAACAAGTGTCACTGACAAACTGGAAAGAGAGACATCTCATCAAGATAGAGAAGAGAGGAGATATGAGCGAATGTGAGAACTACATAGGAATCAGGCTACTGTCAGTAACAGGAATAGTTTTCAACAGAGTGTTGCCTAACCATATGAAAGATTCAGTAGACGTGGAACTTCGATATCAACAGACTGGATTCCGTGAGGATCGGTCGTGCACAGATCGAATCCCAACATTACAGATCATTGTTGAACAACCAATTGAATGGAACTCGTGAGTATACATCGAATTTATTGGTCATGAGAAAGCATTCGATTGTTTGGATAGGAGAACTTCATAGAAACTTGTTGGACACCGTGATGTACTGAGAAGATCGTCAAAATCGTACGGAATTAATACGACTGTCTACAGTGCAAGGTGTTGCATGGAGAGCAGCTAAAAGATGCTTTTACAGTAAGGACGGGAGTCTGACAAGACTATCTACTCTCCCACTTTCTCTTTCTTCAAGTGATTGATTGGATTATGAAGACATCGAAATCTGACAGGAAGCACGGAATACAATGGACATCTCAAAACCAATTAGATGATTTGGACTTTGTAGATGACCTAGCCCTCCTATCTCATACACACGAGCTAATACAGGCGAAGACAACAACTGTAGCAGCAGCCTCTGCATCAATAGACTTCAACATACACATAGGAAAAAACAAGATTTTCAAATACATCACGAAGAACGCCGAGCCAATCACACTTTATGGCAAAACTCTGGAAAATGTGGAAGCATCCACGTACCCAGCAAGTATCATTGGAGGATCTGATGTTGATGTAAAAGTGAAGATTGTCAAAACAAAGACCGCATTCCTACAATTGAGGAATATATGGAACTCAAGACGCCTGTCAACTAATTTCAAAGTGAGAATCTTCGATACGAACGTCAAGACGGTCCTACTGTACAGAGCTAAAACTTGGGGAACTACTACAACCATCGTAAGAAGGTACAACCATCTATCAACAGTTGTCTACACAAAATACTCAACATTCACTGGCCGGATTTCATCAACAGCAGCCTTCTGTGGGAGAGGACAAACTAGCTTCCAGCTGAAGAGGAAATTGCGAAAAGACGTTGGAAGTGAATAGGACATACATTGAGGAAATCACCAAACTGCACCACGAGACAAGCCCTAACTTGGAGGGGAAGCGGAAGCTATGAAGTCAAAATAACATATTACGCCGGGAAATAGAAGCAGATGTGGAAAGGTTGAATGTTAACTGGAAAGAACTGGAAAGGATTGTTTGGGACAAGGTTGGACGGAGAATGATGGTGTGCGGCCTATACTTCCCTAGGAGGAGTAACAGGCGTAAGGAAGTAATTTCGATATCTGAACTATCATAGTATACAACGACCTGATTTTCTGGTTAAAATTACTGAAATTATAACTGAATGGAATTTTCAGATCTCCTGGATTTTTATGTCGGCCAATTATAGTTTGGTTTCTCAGTGATCTTTTGTTAAAACATCAACATTTTATCACGTAACTTAACTAGGAACTACTATGTTCTTCTTTTTTGTGCAAATATAGCTATGGATACCACAGGTTGTTCAGATGGAAGCAGCCAGTATGATATTCACTAAATTTCATTCCACTACAGGTTTATCGATTCTTAATAAACAAGATATTTAAATGGAGGGATGACCACTGCCTCTCCCTTCTGATGTAAACATTTCGTCAAAGTGGATTCACTAATCATAGTTTTGAAAGTTATGTCAATTCACATGAGATACCATTCAAGCTTATTACATAGCAGTAAATTTAAGAAGATTAAATTTTGTAGAAGTTTTATTGAGAAAATAAAAACCACTTGAAATAAAATTAAATCGAATGCTTCATTTTGTAAACCCAAAATGTAATTTATTTCAAATTAAAGAGGTTTCTGGTACACTTGATGTTTGATATCCATAAGTGAAATTGAATAATAATTAATATCAATTATTGCATCATTGGTTTAAAAGGATTATCTCAATTATCATGTACATTATATCTACTCATTAAATTTACCTCATAAAGGAGAACGATGTTGTTGAGTATTTCAAGAAAAAGACTTTGCGAATTATGTAAATTAGATGAAAGCTATTCTTTTTGGCTATCAATACCATTTACAGAACTACAGTAAACTTTAGAACAATAAATAATTCCTAGTTATATATATGCATGTATACAGAAATTTAATAGAATAATGCCCATTGCCGGTTTGTCCTAATATGGGACTTCTCAGAAGTGCATATCCATTATCTTCCACAAGAAAATTGAACATAGAACACATGACTTAATGACGGTAAAAAAAACTTATGAATAAAACAGTTTAAAAGCATAGTACTTGGTAACAATTTAAAACTTGCCATCTTCAATTGTACGAAACACCTCGGCTGGTCTACTGAACGGACCAACTCGATTTGTATATACATAAGCAACAAACAATTCGTATAACGTATATGGACTAAGTGAATTCAAACTGATTGAAATCTGATGATTACTTCTATTCACATTTGCACTGTACAAAAAAATGGAGTTTTCGAGGGGATTTAATTCGTTACAACGCTGAATGCCAATAGTGTTTTCGGGGTTAACATTAAAGTGTTCATCAACGAACCTTTCAGTGTCCATGACACATTCTAAGGGTAAATACATTTGTAAGTCAGAACAACCAGGTGGATCAATGCAAGATAATTTAACCTAAAGATGAACATAGAAAATCAAAAGAAAATTAAGGGATATTCAACTACAAAAAAGTGGAAGAATAATCGGCCAAAATGTATTTTGGTAATGCTGAATTTTTCCACACGATTATCTTGTTTCTGAAGCTTTCACTATATTTTTCTTACTAAGATAACCAAGACCTACTAAAAACAGAACCATCTGGCTTAGAAAACGGATTTTCCATGAAAGCATATCACTGGGTATTTAATTTTCTTACTCATTTATTGATCACTATTGTTTTGAAAAATTCAGGAAAACAAATACTTAACATATACTAAATTCACTACACAAAAAGTGTATTTTAACTGCACTGAAACTGATAGTTGTTAACGAAGAAAGTTAGTATACCGTGTCTTTGAAGTTTGAACAATATGTAGTTTACTTTGAAGATCGAAGCGCGGAAAACTGGGAATTACTGAACAGTTATTTGTTTAATTCATGGTACTACTCAAGAGACCATTTGCACGAATTCACCAGATCAGACCAACAAGATGTCCTCGAAAATGATTGAATTTGGGGAGAAATACCTGGAAATTTATAAACCGTAACCAGTAGAGCTCGACTATGCAAGGTTTTGACCACTTATCACAACTTGGTTTACTTAACAAGCTACACACTTTCTAAAATAAAAATAGTAACAAATAGTCAGAAAAGATTTCTTTAGTACAGGAGTTAACATTTCCAGGATTTGTACTGAATACATCTTTCGATAGTCAAAAATCCACTATTTTCTATCTTCCACATATAATTGTGAATCGAGATAATTTCAAGACACATTGAAATACAGTGGTATAGTTAGTAAAATGCGTCTCAATATATATATATATATATATATATATAACAGAAACAGAGAAGGTATATAAAGTTGGTACTTTGCTACGAATGGGTTCGTATATTGTCAATCTGTTAATTGAATTACATTTTACGAACATTAGGTGAGTTGATATTTAAACGGAGCATACACGTCAAGTCAGTATAAATTATTTGAGTACATTATTTTATCAGTAGTTCATACTGTAAAACACTTTCATATCCATAATAACTATATATCGTGTACTACATATCCTGACATATTTAAGTAATGTGTAGCAGCAATCGAAATTAAAATATGTTTGCTAGCAGAACAATAAATTAACGAGAGAAGGAAGCGAAACAGAGAGCAAACGTAATGACAACAGTACCGAAAGAATCATGAAGTATGTAAACGACAACGGAACGAAGATTTGCAAACAATGTATGATTTTCATATCTTATACAAGCACTGTATAATTTTGCATATAATAATAAATTGCTCTATCGTACCTCAGTTATCGTTCACTAAAACTAGATTACCAATGTTAAATATATGAAATCAAAAGTTCAAATCAGCATGGTTGCTTTAAAATAAACTTACTAAATAACCTTTCATTTCTTCACTGTAATAATCATCTCTATCTATATAGTCGCTGAAAAACGATATTTCCACTTTGTTTCCTTGATGTACAGTAACAGATATGAGTGATGGTGTTTTAAATAATTCATGTGGAAGAGTTTGAACTTGAAGAACTTCAGAAAATGTTCCACATTCGTAATCATTACATGCTGAAATCTTTTTTCAGAAAAGCAAAGAATCATGTTGTATACAATGAAGCATTTTCAAAAACGTCTAAGATATGAAACAAATAATGGAACTCATTTGAAACTACTGGAATATTAGTAGTAGATATCAGTCTTTGGGATGAAAAGAATCTATGTCCTACACTCTGAATTATTTAAGGAAACCTAATTCTTACTTACAATATCATTTCACTACCATTTCCGAAAAGCGAAAACGGTATAAAACTACTTCAAGATCTATAAAACTAACAAAGTATTTGCACAAATTGATACACATGCCTAAAGTCACAAATAAAATCTTAACCTCAAAATGTCTTCTTCCCAATAATATCAATGTGACTGAGTACCTTAGAATTATTCATCTTTCTCTGAATGTCCTGACATTTTTTTCGACATTTTTTCACTCTACTGAACTGTTTTATCTAGAATCGACAGGTTCAATGACGAATTCTTGTCACAAATTCAAATAATTTATTATTGCTTTGGTAAAATGATGCCCTCAGAATCTTGTTGGAAACACTAAAACTTTCATACAATTGGTATCCTTCAAAAAATTGAAAGAAGATAGATAGTAGTGAGTGAATGCGTTAACTAGTTACATTTCACTGCTTTCTCTTCAACTACAGACATTCTAATATGTTCAACTATTTTCAAGTTGAAAAATGCGTTGTCAATGGTGAATGCCAGAACCGAAGTTTACTTTCCACAGACAACATTTAAAGCTAGTAACTTCTTAATTAATATGGACGAGGTTCAAACACCTCAATATTTTTAATCACCATATAAACATTCGGTAATCTATTATATTATTAACAGTTTATGCAACTCTTTAAATCTGAATTATATTGTTTTTGTTTTGCTATATTCTTCGTCATGATATTCTCAGTGACGTTTTAAATATCTTACTAGTGGGTAACAAGACCTATTTAAAAAATAATATTTCATTTACTTAGTTCTACAGACAAGTACTTTTAAGTAATCAGAGGTAATCTCGAGGACACTTTGATCAATATAAGTTTCATGCTGGTTCGGTCTCCCTAATAAGTTTTGACAGTCTCAAGGTTAATGATATCCCCTTCGTGATTCGAATCAAGGTCATTCAGTTTCAAAATCTGGGACGTTACAACTGAACTAGTTGGTATACGACTGACTTCCAGCAAAAGTGATTGGTCACTGACCGATGACAAATATGACAAATGATGAAACTTAATACAAACAACTTACTTTTAAATGATATCTTGTCGATGGTTTTAAATTTGTCAACTCATCTTGTTGTATAAAACTGTTTATATTAGGACATTTTTTCACTTCCACAAAATCACTATTCTCAATCCAATAATATAACTGTAAAATAAAATTACATCACTAAAATTGGTATCATGAAAAAACGATCAAAAAAATAGTTTGATTGCTAATTCAATTAATCATTTGCAAGGATATTCATCTTCAAAAGACAATACACTAATGTTTAAATGTTTATCACTTTTTAGAAAAAACTGTTATCTTGATGGCTGAAATGATGAATTGATCTACGATAGACCACCCTTGAAAACCTGGAAGCACTTGATGGCCGTTTAGTCCTAGTAAGGGAATTTTTACCAGTGCACATTAACGATTTCTCAAACCAGACTCAAACGCATGACCTGTGGGCTCGCGTTCAAATGCCTAACCTCTAGGCCACATAGCCGAGGTTCACTGATGTTATTATCTAACTCAAATCGTTCCATGATCTTCAGCGACCACCCTCCATTTACATTAGATTGCAATTAGGTGTGAAGAAACGGTATTTATTTATTAACCAGCCTTCTTCCGTGTCCTGAGTGCACGATCGCGGATGTGCACTGCTGAGGAGTCTCATACTAGAACCAAACGTGCATCCAGTGTTTTCAGGTTTTCAATGGTGGTCTAGCTTAAATCGACTCGTGAATTCAACTATTGAAAAACTACTACAATCTCCACAAATTCTCATACTGATAAAAATCAATTTGTATCATGTAAAATCCATCATTTCAATCCTACAATGATTAATTAAAATTCCCAAAATGATAATGATAAAAAGTAACTATCACGTTGAGATAAAACCAAATGAATATTTCTGAGATACTGGCTATTTGTATAGAAAATATAGACAAGAAGATAGAAAGAATTGAAATAGCGAAAAAAGAATATTTGAATGATGGATAGGGAGAAAACAAATATATACATCAAGGTGAACTTGATTAGGTGATATTTGTTATCTAAGAAAGAAAGAAAAACTACTATTCGTAACTGGCTCATTTCTTTATGAAAAATTTTAATTCATTTACCGGTGTATGTAAATGAGCAGTTCAACTCAAATATGTGGACAAATATGGTAAGCAAAGATAAACAGTGGCTAGCAGTGGAATCCAGGACGCGCGTTTCGTCCTATTTGGGACTCGTCAGCTGGATGTACCTGCATCTCAGAGTTGATGTTCACTCTGGGACTCGAACCCAGTACCTTTCGCTTCAAACGCCATCGCGTTCTCCACTCGGCCACTGAGTCCTGATAGCCACTTGCTTGTGCAAAGGGGTAAAGTTTAAATTCATTTGGTATTGTTCGTTTCAATCTTCCCATTGACGCTTTTGGACTGCAACTGACCAGTCTGGTCAGTATGCACATATGCAAATTAGAGACTGACCAGTTGCAGTCCAAAAACGTCAATGGGAAAATTCAAACAAACAATACTAAATGAATGTGAACAAATGGTTTAAACTACATGAGAATGATCACAGTTTTGTTACTTAAGAATTAATTAGTTAGTTCGACTAAATATTTGATATTATGATGGACTAGAAGCTGATTAACTTTTTCAAATGATTTAAAGAGAAATCTCAGACTCTTACTGATTTTTAAAATTTTCAATTTAAACAAAGAAGCATATATTATTTCATCGAGAATGTGTTTTACGCCTTGTATGGGATACAAAATGTAATTCGAACTAACAGTAAACACCTTTTAAAAAGTAGGTTTTGTAAGAGATATCTTTTTATGACGCCTAAAATGTGGCAAGAAAACATCTATTGTACCTTTATATCAGGATGTTAAACATCCTGATATAGATTCTACTGAAAACATAAACTAACATTCTATCGCCATTATATTATTTAAAGTTAACATTCAATCAAATAATGTCACCGTTTATGCACGTTATAATAAACACATTTGTGTTAAATAACTATACAAAAGTGTAAATATTTATTTACATGGTATTCAGATTGTTATCTCACATTTTCTTTATATTGACCTTATGGTAAATATGTAAAAACATGAAGAAATCAAATGTACACAACTTTGTTTTCTGATGAATGCTCTTGAAGTAGAAAAAATAATCTGGAGTTTGTGTTGATGATTTCATTCAGAAGAACGATGAAAGCTCCATGACCGAACCATCCAGCTCATAGAACAAATTCCATCGAAAGCATTCGCCTGAGCTACAAATCTTCTCCACCATCTCAAAATCTGATTTTAGGATTGAAAACACTTATTATAAACCTTGAACAATAGTACCATAGCTGATAACTTATAAATAGTTTTTTTAAATAGAATTTATGCTAAAGCTATTAGGAAATTTCCTGGACGGTTTTTTTTTGAAGTCAATTACAAAAAAGATTTATGAGGATGTTAGACGCTGGATGTAACTGTATATTCAGATGGTAGTTAAGGTTTACAATGTCTAGTTAAATAGCATTCTGCTATTCTAAAGCGTGAAAATAAGTTAATAGAAAAGTACATTTACTTCAGCTCTGAAACAAGCTTTTTTGAAACCAGTGACCATGGTGTTATAAATCAGAAGACGTCACATTATATTACTGTACTGTAGACATGTCAAGGTAGGTCTACGTCAAATATATGAACGGGCTCAATGTCCCATATTACCACCTACACAAATAATAATAACTGGTTGATTCGGTATACAATTCAGGTTACGCTACCACTCCTAAATGGTTATCTATCTAAATATGTTTCTGGTACTATTTTAGCTGTGTTTGGAATAAGTAGTAGATTATAAAGCTTGATTTATAAACACCCGATTTAATATGGATTAAACTTAGTTTTCATTAACGTTTAAAACTCACATAGAGAAAATAAAAGTTGTCTTTATAGAGATATGGAGATTGTTGAGTCTCAGACAGAAAGGCAGTTACCTACCAATCGGAATGGAAGATGGCCGCGCAGTATGGTGGATTGACTGAAATTATATATTAACACCATTGAATACCGTCGCAGTAGTCTAAAGGTCAAGTGTTCTCTCGTGAGACGGAATGTCTTGGGTTCGAGTCCCGTGCGTCGGATCATGGACGTTCACCGGTAAAGAATCCCATACTAGGACGGAACGGCCATCAAATGCTTTCAGGTTTTTAACAATGGTCTGACATTGATCGGCTAATGTTCTCTATAAAATTTATATTCGCCTTTTTCATATGAATTTACGACAATCCTTAAAAAATTCATTAATGTACAAAATTGTCGATGAAAAGATTTACTCATCAGTGATTGCAATAATTACCGTTTAAAATCAGTAGCAGTTTCCCTACAGTTCTTTAAAAAAAACAGTAGTAGTTTTAAAAACAGTAATTCAGGATAACTTGTGTCAATGTTCAATGAAATCATAGATGAGGAAGAAACACAAATGTCACTCGCTTGTTTCTACAATGCACAATAAGAACTTTATTGGATATTTAGAATAATTTTCTTTGTAAATACTAAATCTATAGGGTTACATGGTAGTGAATAGACTTACTTGTTATATGGTTTGAAGTCTTGTGATTTCATTATTAGTATATGGAATACATATATTTTGTGATATAAATCGAGTGTTAATTATGTAATTGGATTATGTAATAAAAATTTTTATAATGAGATTAAGGCTCGAAAACATGTTAGTTGTAACTAATCTAACAATTCTACTAATATGGACCACATAAGTACTTTCTACAGTCAAATATAAATATAATGAAGACTGAAAGATTAATGACTAACCAAAATTTGTTTGATCTTAAGGTAATAATGGTTGTGTGTTTCTAACAATAAAAGCAATCAATTCATTTATTTTTTATGATGTACAACAAAATAATTCCAATAACATTAACAGACATTTCATTAGTATGGGGAATTGTGGAGATTGTAATATTTTCATAGTTGAAGTTACGAGTCTATCTAAGCTAGACCGCCATTGGAAACCTCGAAGTACTTGAGGGTCACTTCGTCCTAGTATGAGACTCCTCAGCAGTGAGCACGCCGGACTCGAACACAAATTTTTCGGTCTTGAGCGCGAACGTCTAACCTCTGAACCAATGAGCCGGCATCTAAAGGTGTTAATGTCTAACTTCAACGCGGATCGTTGATGTGCACTTCTGAGGAGTCACATACTAAGACAAAACGGACGTACAGTGCTTCCAGATAATTCAGAATTTATTTTGAATTTCTATGTTTGTTTCTTAGCATTAAATGATTAGTCAAACAAAAGGATACATTATTACTGGCCAAAAAACTAACCTGATATTCTTTAACTAAGGATAATGATAATTTATTTGTTTGCAATGCTGCTACCCAAACAATATGAATAGATGTGCTTGTAACGTTGATTAAATGCAGTTTCAAAATAATTTCGTTTAATGCTGCTTGAAAATAAGAAAGGTAAATAAGATATTAGTAAATCTATCATGAAAATAAATTTGCAAACATAATTTTGAGGACAATTAAGAAACAGAAACGCTGGAAAAAGTAGTTAACAACGTCTACTAAAATTGATACATGACTCAATTTAAGAATACCGCTTCGTTTGATTAGACAACACGAGTAAACATCCATTGTTAAGTTTATAAACTTTTGTTAACTCTTTTAATTCAAATTAGACCAGTCATTGACCACCGGTTACTTTATTGTTTGTTAAAGTCTACAGATGAGTGTTTCCATAAATCCGTTTATTACCTTAATGGTCTACTGGCATAGCGCAACCTGTATTGATGAGATCCGTTTATAGAAACTTGAAACTAGAAAGTGTATGTACGTGCTTGTAAATGATCCAAAAACCTTTTCAATAGGATTTGTAGTAATGAGCATCAAATCCAATAGAACAACTCAAAACAAGTCTCAATCTTTCATCCCTAATTAGCATTATGATGGATGTTAATCACCCCCTATTTCAGTTAAATGTTTTAGCTTAATATACTTTACGTTCTATCACTGATTTCACAAATTTTATCCTTCTGTGTGAATCTTATTTCGTTTACTGGAAAACTCCGTATTATTTACGTTCATGAAAATATCTACTTTTAACTTAAATCATGTATAGATTGCATCAGAAAACATAAAACTTTCAGAAGCTCTCTGAGTACTTGCTTATCTTTATAAGCTAACATAATTTCGGTAAAACGGGAAAAGCCGTGAAAATCACTTTTGCAATGGTTAGTTTTCTAAGTGTTTTAAAAATATAGTGTAAATGACTATAAATGATGAATGAAAGTTGCATTACAGTCACTCTTCTCCATGTTTGTGAGTGTCCTTAGTAAATTGAATAATGTATGATAATTTGTTGGACGAGATGGAAGCTTAATGTCAACACTAACTACGGTATCCAGTTGTATTCACGTAACGAGTTCTTAATAGTGTAAATTAATACGTCCTAGACCACATTGCTTTCCACTAACAAAATAAAATTGGGTATATTGGCCTGAAACAATATTACAAAATTGATCTAATGAAAATTAGCTCATCTATACAAAAACCAAAGATAAGGGCAGATCATATATATATATCACAGGATCTAACATCTAAACTCTGATATGGTAATAGCATTTAATTAGTGCTTTTTATTCATGAAAGTCCAGTGGTTCTCTGTCTGAAAAAAGTCTCTTATGGAATGAAATTCACTTTTGAAACCTACAAATGAAAATACTAATCAAACTCCTTTACATATATCCAACGGCCATTTAAAAAAAAAGAAAATTAATTCACAATTTAATAATTATTTACTTTTAGGTATATTAGACACTGAATAAAAAACGGAGTTAGATTTTTTACTCCATCCAAGAAAATTTACTGAAGATAGACTGAAACAATATGAACCAGTCTGAAAGATTATTGATATATTACGTATTGTATATATATAACTATCATTTGTTGGATTTTTAATAGTTTCATTCAAATTTATGACACTGAATAGTTCCCATTCTTCATCTGTGATTATTTCACAATCTGTAAATGAGATAAATTAGAAAATATTAATGAAAGTTTTTTGGTGAGTAAAAATCTTAAGTGCAATTCTTTGGATTCTGAAGAGAAGCGGTGGTCATTGGAGTTTGACCATGTCAAGTGCTAGACAAAAACCAACCCAAAGCAATGAGAGATCATCACATAATATCGTGAGTCAGAAGAAGTTAGATAATGACACTGTTGAGACCTGGTTAAGTGGTCAAGAGGTCTGTCGTCCGTTCATGTGATCAATGGTTTTGGGTCGGGACCCTGTCGACATGGTTGTAGGTACTCACTGCCCAGCAGTCCCATCCTATGATAAAATGACTGTTCAGTGTTCCCTAGTTTCCAGTGGTGATCTAACTAAGATCAATTCATGAGTTAAACCATGAAAATTCTACAACCACTACAAAATCATATACGAATGAAAATTATTTCGTTAAAAGGGTCACTGTAAACATAGATAAATTACTTTTCAACATTTCCTAATGGGTAGTGATCAAGGTTATTGTTTACTGATTATCATCACCAAATTACCGTTAGGGAATAATCACACATTTCATTGACTAATAACGAGTACATCGATTAGTACATTTCCGGTAGATAGCACAGATATATCTGATAGATTTTTCTTTTAACGTGTAGTGAATCCCCTTGAATACTTTAATTTTGGATAGTAATAGCAATATTCATGTTAACCTGAATATAGAGTGGCTGACTTTAATTATATTTTGTTTCCCATATGGATTAGTGTGATTATTCTAAACCAATGCGTCTCTAGATTAATTGTGATCTTATTTTTCTTTTTCTTTTCGCTCTAATTTAAAAATATCAGTTCAGCAAGATTTGATAAGTGATTTAGAGTTAGATTAAACTGAAGTGTAAAGTGTATTTTTTCAAAGCTCCAACTACATCAATTAAAAAATTGTGCTTTTTTGAGGCAGCAGCCGTTTAAATGTAAGTTAATTCTGAAATACGCGGTTCTAGATCATGACCGAAATTCATTTTATTAAATATTTAATGATTAAAAGTTCAAGTTTGATGCCTACATATTCCTCATGACATTCTCAATTCTTTAGTTACTCTGTCATTAGTCAAACAAAATAGAAATTGATCTTAATTTCATATGTATTATTAGAAGATTAAATGATTAAATACAACCGATTATGGACATACTCTTTGAACAAACTATAATGAAAAACTGTTTACAGTAAACTGATCATCAATCTGTAATAGAAATCAAATGGGTTGAACTACATCATCATCAGGGATATCATATTGAGAATCTATATATGATTTGAAAAGTGTTTTTAAATGTTCATATAGACAGATTCATTTTGCATAAAAATGATGCATATAAACCAAATATCCGTAATTCTGAATAAAGATTGACCAATGGGCGAGTCATTTAGTTCTCATCACAGGTTACATAAGCAAATAAATAAGAAATTAAAGATGGAAAAATTTGAATACTATTGTAGCAAGACAGTTTTGTGAAGTAAAAGGTTTTCATAAAGAACGAGTCAGTACAAGTTTCGCCCAGACAGAAAAACGAAACAGGCTTATGAGAATGTGGCCTGTGTTGTATGTTAGGCACTAACCATTAAAACACAAGGGAAATTTAGTGAAATGTGTTTGGTTTCTCAGAGTCAGCTCAGTATCCCATATCATTCAAATGGGCTCATCATTAATTCAGTTATAAAGGTTGAATACCGGCAATATGATAATCGTAATATTGATAATAATCGTAATATTAAAGTGGTAAACTCGCTAGTGTAAATTGGTCCCTTATTAAGAAAAAGCAAATTTGTTATATCAAGTGTCGTTCTCCAAATAGTTATTGATCAGCATGTCACGATTTCTCTGAATTTGTTTTCTTTGAATTCCAGTTTCTATCACAGTATGGCTCAAGTGTTATGGCTTGCAGTAAATCGTTCTTTTAGATGCCCATTCGCTAGATACCTTGTACATTGCCCATTTTTTACTTTGCATTAACTCCAACTAACGTCACCTACATGGGCGTAGATTTCAATTATACTCAATTCCACTGCTAGCCACTATCCATCTTTGATTAAAATGTTTGTGAATTTAGGCTATATCGAGGCAATACGCACAGTATGCACATATGCCAATTAGAGACTGACCAGTTGCAGTCCTAAAAACATCAATCGGAAGATCAAAACACAGAATACTAAGTAAATCGTAATTCAAATAGTTTATTGAAATTTTGTACGCTTTTATGGCCATAAGCGTAACTTATTCTCACTTTAAAGTTTTACTCCTAATTCCTAACAGAAAGTTTGGTGCTAGTGTGCTATCGAGAAAAAATATTCTTCTCATATTATTTCAGCTCATTAATATCCAAAATTGACATTTTTTATCTAATAGTTGAATTCACGAGTTCATCTAAGCCAGACTACTATAGAAAACCTGGAAGCACTGAACGGTTGTTTCGTCCTAGTATGGGTCTCGTTAGCGATGTGCATTGACAATCTCTCACATGAGACACCAACCCTTGACCTATGGTCTCGCGCGCAAACGCTTAATCTTTAGACCACTGAGCTGGCATCCAAAGGTGTTAATGTCTAACTTCAATCTATCCATGATCTTGCGAAACCCTTCATCCATTGTCTGAAGTGGATAACTGTCTCCAATCGACACCACGTTGACTGTACAGTAATTGATTCTCCTTAACAAATAAATAACAGGAATATTTTGCTCAAGTATATATTTCTTTAAGTCAAGTCTATTTCTTAACTGCATATCTCAAAATTTATAAATTGTTCACACTGATTAGTTTAGAGTCTTGACTTCGTATTAAGCTAATACCTGAAATTCAAAAACCATATAGACGATAAGATTAAGCAAATTTTAAGTGAACACGAAAGTATTAAAAATCTCAATTCCTTTGTTTGGTATAGTCAGTTATGTGTCAGTGTCTATGTTACATTGATCATAAAGAATGATTATTATTACCATTATTATTAGTAGTAGTATTATTGTTAAGAAATGAAATTTTAATTTACTTTGTTTTCTCAAACCATTTTGATTGGGTAATTTATGAATAAAAATTGCATAATGAGTTATTTTGAGCTGATGATTTGCTTGTGGCTGTCTCCATAACAGTTGAACTCCGATGTCATGAATATTATTGTTATTATTATCATTATAGTTACTAGTTTCAAATACATTGGTAACAGACAGATCAGTCGGCGTTGTCGGGAGCGAAACAACCTTAACACAATAAGCAGAAATATAAACCCAAATTAATAATCTGACTTTTGTCAAGCACCAAAACATAAATAATGAAATAACTGACTAGAAAATTTATTTTTAACTTATATTATAATACAGACTTTACAAAGTTAGGTAACATAGGCTATTTTCTTCACTGAAAATCCATAATCTTTTACTCAAAGTAAAGCAAGATTCAAGAGGAATGCATAACTGTACAATGGAAGGACTGTTAAAATGTATTATAAATGGATTGTGGTTTGTAAGATATACGCTATTACATTGAACTAAACGCTCATGATCTTATTGCAAAAACTAAGTATTTGGGTTTGAGCGCCTGAAAACTTTTTATGTTTCAGTAGGCAATTAATTTTGGGGTAATCAGAAGTATATGACAACTTTACCTTATTTATCACAATATTGTTATTTTTCATACAGAATCATGTTTCTTAAAACTTTTATCGAGTTGTGCCTAGAATTTTTCATCATATACACCGGTATCACTTATTTCTAGTATTAGGAACTACAGCTCATTACGATAACATATTCATCATCATCATCGGTTATACATGTGTTATACTCGACTAATGATATATCGTTGCCATCGTTGAATCTCACCATTGTTCATCAGATATTATTTACAACGTTAACGTTTTCTTATATAATTAAAAACAAAAATATCAGAAGAAATTCATCTAAATACTTCAATGAAAGTTTCACTACAAGATTGTATCATCCAATCAAGTTTCCGACTTCAAAACACGAGCTTTTAGTTTACTTAACCATGTCTAGAAATCTAGTGTCCATTTTAATTTTTTCTTAACCATTCAAACCTAGTGATGTTATCAGAAATGAGAATAATCGGGCTAAAATCACGAATAAACAACTTCGAATAATAGCTCTTTTCAATAAAATGAGTATAAATATTCTTTTTTCTCAAAAATCTCTTACTTTTAATTCAGTTTTAAGAGTGTAATTGCCACCAGGTGATAGGATTTCACAAACATAGAATCCTTGATGAATTACATCAACACTGTTAACATGTAAAATTGATCCATACTCTTTTAACCTTATAGACGGTTTGTGTTTTTGTGGAATATCACGTGAGAAATAAGTAATAACTGGATCTATTGGTACAGACTTGACAAGATTGTAATTTGTAATTACTTTTGTATTATCTTTGGTAGTTTCGTGAAGCAACATGGTATTATTATGTTTCTTATATTTTTCACCAGATAGAGTGGATTCTTTCCTTCCATGAAACCAGTTAATTTCAGCAATTGTATTTTGATCAATGTAAAATGAACACATTATTGATAAGCTTTGATTAGCAAAAGCTGTTATTGAACTTGGTAAATAGTGAACAGGTATGGTACGAGCTATGATTGATGAAAAAAGTAATTTCTATGATAAAATGTTGTACATGTTACTGACTAAGTTAACTCAAACTTTAAAGATCGAGAAAAACGCACTGTGCTATACAAGAAGAATTAAAGACAATTCAGTCGAGTATTTTACTTTTTGATGATTTACTGAATCTGTACAATAATACTTATTATAACTTGGAAAATATATTAGTCTACCGGAGATGGGAAAGAGTATATTTTACAGCATTCAGAGATTTCATGTATTATGAGAAAATTTCCTAAAGGCCCAAAGATTGTAGAATGGATAGTGAGATGAAAATAATTGAGAAATCAGAAACATAAATCATAGTCATTGACTTCACAGCTATGTACAAGAAATGGAAATGTGAGAGTGATGGTACCAACTTAGTGCTAATTAATTAAATTACAAGAAAATAATGACGACTAATAATTGACTAAAGGACAGACCTGAAAAAATAGTAGAATCATAAGAGATTGAAAGGTTGGATACGCTATTTTTTCAAGAGGAATCAAGGCTTGAGATGGTGAATGGCCGATGACTCTGAAGTTCATTAGTTTTTTATCTTTGCTCTCGCTCGCTTGATTGTGTAAACTCTTTTATGAAAGATTGTTCTGATGGGACGGAATTGACGAGAATTTATGAGATTCCTCTGTGTTATTCATTTTAGAATTTCACATTCTGGGTGGCTTTACAAAGAGTTTGCTTTGTGCCGCCAATGTGTCCTCCTCATAAAAGAAAGTCATCTTATAGATTTACATAGATCCCTACAAATACGACAGCACAGCTTCAACAAGAGATATAATTTTTTAAAAAACCTCTTTCTAAAAATCCTTTAGTTCTTGTTCAAAATTTGCCAAGAGTATAAATTTACAGGCTTTAAACTTTCAACACGTCTTGTAACCAATCATTGACAGTTTTATCGAATCTCTAAAACATCTTGTTGTATGTTTGTGTACTGAAAAGAAAATCTAATATTGATTATATAATACTGAAAACAGCAATCCGGTCACATCAAAACCTTATTAACAAGCATTCATTTCGTTTAATGGTACTGCTAATGTTTATATTCATCAGTTACTCTTTGAAGATCTCAAACGTTAGTTCGTAATTTATCCAATACTATATAAACATAGCCACCAAACTGTCTAATTCATAGTCTATTGAGATCATGAACCAATCAATGTTAGACCACCACTAAAATACCTGGAGCATTGGACGCCCATTTCATCATAGTATGTGACTTATTAACAGTGCGCGTACCCGATCTCGCACATGAGGCTTGAACTTGGGACCGCTGGCCTCGAGCTAACCCTATATCAATATACAAGATAACATTTCAGGACTTGCTAGTTATTAACGTGATGTATTCTGGAGATTGTTTAATTTTCATACTTTACATCATGGACTCATCATAGTTGTCTAAATCAAACAACTATACGTTCATTTATTCACTATGACAATAATCCATTTTAAGGGTACTGAGAGATTCAAATAATCATTTAAGTGGTGCGATATTACTGAAGCTAAAAAGATTTTACTTTTTTAAGATACTTCATTTAGATTGATCAAAATAAACGATTAACTTACAATAAACACTGACATAAATAAAAGCTGATTGATTTCCTAAATAATTCACTGCTTCACATTTATATAGACCAGTTGATTTATAATCGACATTATAAATCTCCAATTCATTTAAACCCATCGGTACACGTGAATTAGATGGTAGTTGTGTAGATTTTAATTTATCATCAGCTAACATTACACTCATATCATCCTCTTTGATTGAATATTGCTTTCTCTTGACAGTTGAAGAATAATTCGAATTTTTATACTTTTGATATAATTGATGAATTGGTGTCCATTCATTTTCATTGGTTTCTGGAAAAAGAAGATGAATTGTATAATATTTATAACATGAAATCTTTTTATTGAACTATTCAATTACCTTTTCTGTAGTCATAACAAGACTCATGTGAACTGTAATGGCGCGAGACTGGTAGGTCATGGCTTCGAATCTCACGAGACGGGATCGTGGATGCGCACTGCTAATAGGACGAAACGGCCGTCCAATGTTCCCAGGTTTTCGATGGTGGTCTGGCTTCAATTGAATCATGATCTCATTTATGAAAATACTGAAATCTCCACAAAAACTCCTTCTGATAATAAACAAAAACAATTCATAATCGACCCTAAATTCTTTTATTTTTCACTCGAACTTGTGGAATCTATATTGAAGCCAATTCAGTTACTTTCACTTTAATTTGGATGGAATCCTAGCAATAGTTATTCATGGATCATTCAATTTCATGAATTTATTGAGGATATTTTGAGGGTATTGAGTAGAATCAAAGGTCCCTACCATAAAAATAAAAAGTTCTACGGTCTCTAGTCAAATTATTGATAACGAAAAATAAAACTGGTTGGTGTTAATTTTCAAGACGTGCTCAATCAAGACAATAAAACATTCAACCACTCACCTTTATACCATTTATATTCAGGTGTTGGTGCTCCATGAATAGGACAAGTCAGAACTGTTGTTGATTCTTTCAATACAGTAATATTCTCCATAATTATTTCCGAGTTGCATAATCTTGGAGCGAACGCTAAAACGAACAATTGCGTTCTTTTATTATATGAATGAAGATCAATGACATTGTTACATAAGAGATGTTTGGCAAATGGTTACTGTTGATGTATTTGAATATACAGTTTCTCGGAGGATGATTTATAAAACGTTTGCCAGCTGTATACTTTAATCTGAAAATTCTAACTTTGGAAATTACAACTGATGATTACTTTCTTTGTAGATAGTTATTAAATTCCACCAAACTATTAGAAAGTTCGTGTATGAGAAATAACTTTTGAAAACTTATGACTAAAACACTAATAACTGTAAAACAATTGAATAATATATTTAGAAGTATATATATGCTTGATTGTTTAGTTGAGCAAGTATTTACCATAAGCACAAATTTTGTCATTGTACGATGTAATAAAGGCATTGAAAACAGTTTATCTGAAGATACTTTGTTCCGCTTTGCTAGGAATTCTCCATCACGGAGAGTATTGATTTTTATTATTCTAAAAAATCTTTTTACATTTCATTAACACTTGATCAACTCCAATCTCATGTTTCTTGCAACTTTCACTCTTATATTACAAAATATTCTATATTATTCATTTTTGAATATATATTTTACTGACATGGGAAAATTGCATTACTGTAAACACAATATTTAAACTTGTTGTAACCGTAAAGAGATTACACAAGCAGTTGTTCGGGTTAAGTACAATTTTAATTTGAATATATTTGGTTAAATACATCTTTGCCAAATTTCTGTAGAGTTGAAGAACAACCAACTCAGCAATATCTAACCAGAGTATATCTTTTACTTAGTGTGGTTAATCCAATAAATATGATTATGGTCACCAACATTTAAAGATATTTTGGTTGTTTATTTAACTTCTGGAAACATCAACTATCTAGTGAAATAATTTTAGGTCAATCGAAATTAACTAAGAAAAAACTGTGACTGCATGGATAATGGCTCAACAAGGTCTAGCATAATACCATCTAATAAAGTTACCTTTTATTGAAGTAAACCATAAAAGTAAGTGCCAACTCATAAAATAAATTCACATGAATTGTAACACAAACTTTATATTCTATTTGATAATAATCACAGTCTATCTTAGTAGAACGGAAATTTTCACTTCATCTCTTAAGTATCTCATTTCTCTTTTACTTCAAATTATACCATTCCTCGTTACCGGAATAAATTATCATTTTTTTTAAATTCAATCACCCTATAGTTGTTCTTCTAAGAAAGTGATCATATGAGAAGAGACATTTTCTATGACTTCACAAGCTAGTATATTTATCTGTCATTTAATCAAACTATCATTTAGCCTTTTTTTGAAAGCTTGATAATATCAACAGATGACTTGAAAGATAGTGATTCCATTAAATGTAGATCAGCCTTGAGTTATCTTGAGCTATCTTAAAATAAGCATCAATATAGGTAGATTTCTTCTTCCTTGTCTATTCATTCCTTATTAGATATGATTTAAGTTTACCTTCTCTTTGAAATGCTATAAAAGTTAATCAGATAATTAACAAATATTAATTAACCATAATCAATTATTAGTGATTACTTAGTGATTAATGAAACCGATTTGAATAGATAATTGAAATATCAAAATGAAATAATGGAACATTAAACTATTAGCCTATTCATGATCACTCTATTCTTTTTTGTTCTACGTAATGTGTAATCTATTTATATAAATAAAGATACTGTTACAAGTGATTATAATGATCCTTCTTAATTGACATGGCTAAGTTCAATCTTTATTAGCAAGCTATCACAGTTGGATATACAATATCTAACATTTTAGAAAAAGTATGAATGACCCCTAACAAGATAATATGTATCAAATAGAATCTGAAATGTAATTAAAACACATTGTTTCCTTCATATATCATAAATATTGGAATAGTAAACATAAAACAAAGTTATTTGTGTAATGGTATGATAACATAATTTTATTTTAAAAGCTATATTGGGCGCACTACCAGACGACTAAACCAAAGAGTTGGTGAACACCTCCTTTCGTGGTTAGGTAAAGGTACTGTCAGAACAATACGCAGCTCGGTTCTATCATACTTGATCGATAACGGTCATGTAGTGGCCAGAAATAAGTCATTTAGAGTTATTTATCGTATTCCTACTAGTTTTTTTATGGGGTTCGATTTTGTCTCTTATACATAGCAGATGCTAGAGAAATTCGAGCAAACAACCTAGGTCATTGTGTTCATAAGAAATTTGTAACACCCTTATCTCTCCATTGGCCTTAATAAATGACTTTATTTATTATTATTTTCGATACTCTTTCTTCACCCTCTCCTACCATTTTGTTTTTTCTCAAATATACGTTTCACGGCCCAATTATCTGAACACTTTCTATTGCATAATCTTACAATTTTTATGAATGTTATTTCATTGTCTACATTTTTCTAATCATTGACTTATTTCTCACCAGGAAACATGGATTCAAGCCTTTATTCTTCTTATCACAACTAGTACACCTGCCATCACACTATCAATTTGTACTTTTCATTTATTACGCTTAGTTATGTAACCTGTTCGACTGTTATCATTGACTCATAAACAGCCTTGATTAGTTTAATAATTTCGTTTATGTACATAAACATTACTGTATATTGGAGTAAAGCTTGATGAGAATCTAATTGAAAACAATATTGTTCGCTTATATGTTATTTTTAAATAAACAATAATGATCGGTTGTGACAAATCCTTAATCTTAATAGTTAAATTCATGAGTCGATCAAAATTAGACCACTATTGAAAACCTGGAAGCACTAGGCGGGAGTTTAATCATTGTATGGGATTCCTCAGCAGTGCACATCCATGATCTCACGCGCTAGACTCGCCTATAATTAACGAAATGACATCTATGATGTTTATAAAAATAACCCATGCTAATAAATTTGCAACACTCATTGAATAAGGCTAACGTAATCATCAGATTTGAATTATAACCAGAGTCTAACTAGAAATGTACACCAGATAAATCCAAATCTTTCGCTGAAAGTAGCTTAACCTCGGTGAAATGTTACTCGATTTAGGGGAAAAAAGACATATAACATCTTAAAATTTATATGTTCCATTTTGAAGCACATGTTTAAAATTGTTCATTGTTTGTTTACTGGAACATTGACTCCTAATCATTCGTTCATATTGTGTGTTTGTTTATAATAACCGTATAGCACAAAAAAACTTACCAATTTTTAAATATTGAATAAAACAACAAGACAGTAGATCTCATTAGAAAAATACCTGTATAATTATCATTCATTTTTAGTCAAATTATTTGTTTCAAATTCCTCAACTAGAAAACTAGGATTTCGAAAGCTAATGTTTTACTAACTGAGTGGTTAGAATAGATCTATTCTAGAAGGAATGTGCATACTTCCATACATGTTTATTAGCTAATCGTTTTTCTTATAATAATAAGCATTTTTCAGAAAAGTCCTGTACACTATTTTGAATCTAAACCAAAATAAGTTTAAATTCAACTTAGTATTGTTTGTTTGAATCTTCCCATCCATCTATGCTAACCAAAATGAGTTTAGATGTGATTTACCAATTCCAATTTTCATTGTTTCAAAGAAAAATTACCATGTTATGGTTACTTTTTAAAAGTAACCTTTGAAGCGATTTGAATAAAAGATATCAAAATGGAAACAGCTACAAAAATTTTTAAAAGTGATGTCCTCAAAAATTGAATATCCAAAATATACAGGTTATATGCTTAAACTCCATCTAACATTAAACCTGTTTTCTTATTTATCTAAAATATTTGACTGATACTTCAGGACTAAGTTACAAGGAGACAGGTATTCTTATACACAGTAAGTAATATTTCATCATTCTACTGATAATAGTTACTAGTGAAAGGCATAATATCAAGACATTGCCATGTTACACTTTACCATACAGTAAAGTCAGAACGTTATAGATAGTTTATAATACATAATTTGTTCAAAAATAAATAAACTGATCCACTGAAGTCATTTAATGATATTTAGGAAAATCTCAACAAATTCATGAAATGTTAAGTACTGTTCCTGTGGTTAACTCATTGAGTTAAACAGTTATTTACAAATGGACCAAGCATTTGACTTGGATCGTGAATTTCTCAAGAACGATGAGGGAATATAACTACTGTCTACCTCCTGGATTGCCGAAACCAATAACCATGAACGACATCTTCAGCCGTAAAATATTCAATACCCTATCCAAATGATTATTAGTTATTTAAATTTGTGAAAATCATTTGTGCATAGAATTCAGGCAAAACCTAATCATGTGAAACAGCGGTTAGATCAGTAGCCAGTTTCATGAGGAATTCCAACTATATTGTTTATTAAAAAGTCGTATATGTGTTATCTATATCCCCAACGAATGGGAATCATTTTAATAGAGATAGGATTTATGTGACTTAGATGTTGTAAAATAAACATTATTTTCAGTCCCAGTATTTCATGAAAAACTAGCATACTTATATCAAAAAAGTGTATTCATTATAATTTCGGTATTTTAACAGAATAGTAAAGTGATTTAATGACGTAATCGGTTCTGATGAAGTTTTGTTCTCTGAGCTGGACATAATCAGTACAATACAGGTTAAATACACAGAAATACTTCCTTTATGAATAATTGAAAGCAAAAACATATAAGAATTTCCAGTGAACAAGTTCAGCTTTACTACTAGTAGCTGAACTTATCTCCTTTACAAGACAAAAGTAATTCAAACAAAACTGTAGACATAAATAAAAAGAATCCTGAGGAGTAAACAAGGTTAGAAAAAATGATAACTTACACGTTACTTTCAGCCAAATATTCAGGAAATCTTCACCAACATCATTGTATGAGTAACACTGAAAAATACCAGCATCGGTTAACTTCAAATTTTTGATGATTAAAGTATGATTGATATGAATCTGGTAACTAAATAATTTTTTCAGAAAAAGTAAACACAGAAATGAGAGATAGTTAGTTATCCATAAATATTTCTTGAATGATATACTATACGATTAATGATTGACAAGGAAAACAGCATGAAACGTCATTGTCATATAGTTGGAAACATTATACTATTGTGATGTATGTTACTTATGTCGACAGACATAATTTCCTCGTAAAATATTGATCCAAATATTCAAGATTTACTGATATAAAAAGGTTTAGTTGGTTCTTAATTACACTCTTTCCTGCCTTCAGACAGGTTTCATTTAGTGAACTATTAACGTTTGTATTTTAAACAATGAATCTCATAATCAGTTGGCTGATATTTAAATGCAATTCTAGAAGAATGCTTTACACAGAATAAAGGAGTCCTACACATATTGATCAATAAACAATTACCAGTGTCATGTATGTCTAGCTCTTAACACTGATCAAATTCTGTTGATTGGTTTGCAATATGACCACAAATTTAAGTGATTAGACATCATACATAGGATGTTTTGATGTTTAGTACAATCAAGAAAAAAAGTGAAATATTTTATTACGATTGAATTTGCATCTTACTGAAGGGTGATAACTATTAGGAAGATAAAGTCCTATACTTTCTAAAGATGTCTGCAAGCAACTTACATAATGATATTCTATTTTCACTATCTGGAGTCGCTCTTATATTGGAAAATTCAATCTTCTGTTTAGTTTATGGTGAATAAAACAATCTGGATAACAGTTCATTCAGAAATAATTTTAAAATCGTCAACATGGAGACTTTTCCGGAAAAACTAATCAAAGTTGCTCAATTAATGACATCATCTAATTGTATACTTACTAGTTTATAGGGATTTTTATAATAAAGATATGAATCAGTAATTTAATCAGTTAAATGTCGTCTTTTTAATTAAAGATGAAAAATCTGCTTCATCTACTCTTATCTACTACACTTTCTCCAGCTTTAACAAAGTGTTTTTGGTTAATGATCAAACTCCAGCCAGACTGTCAATATAAATGAGTATATGGCGTCGTCAGGATAAACTTCGGATAGTTTATTTCTATCTGAATTTTGTCCTAATGTTTCTTCCCAGAAAGACAAAAGAAGCAGTTCAAATCAATCATCTAATTCAGAGAATGGAACTTCATCAAAGCTAACCAACTCTACTACAAATCGTCAACATTTCAGATATCACTATATCACTATGTAACATGGGTGGAAGGTTAATATTAGAGGATGAAGCTCTCAGTTTTTAAGCAACAAATCACAGTCTTTAATTCCATTCTGCATTCTTCTGTTTGAGCAGCTGGATAACACTAGTAGTTTTCATTCAAACTGTACGCCTCAATGTTGGGTACATAAACTAGTCACGACTTAGGAATTATATTAATTAAGTACTGATTTACTTTCTAAACAATACTGAATTATTATTGATCGGAAGTGAAGTAAATAATAATTCAATCATTCTTCAATCAGTAACAATACTTTTCAACAACACAAGATGTAGTCTTGATAACTAATCCAGTGGATGTTAAATAATTAATCAGTTGTACTAAAAAACTTGAGTCAATTAAACAAGGCAAAGGAATGAAAGCTAAGTGGAATAAAAAGTGAATCTAAGTACATATATTGATACATATATAATCTTGGATGATTGGAAAGCGAGCGCGCCTCTCCGTATATATATATATATATATATATATATATATATATATATATAAACACACAAACGTAGTGCACAAATATCCGATCTCATGATAACAGTCCCAAAGAATGTTCTTAATATCAATCAAATCTGTCATTTTATATCATAAATGCAAGAGTTAAGTATAAATTGGACTTCCTTGTGTTAGACTGAATATATAGCTGGAACTGATAGCTTTGGCATAAACAAAGTCAAATTATTAATATATTGTTTGAGAAGAATTCAAATTAGTTAATATTAAATAACATCTATTCAATGTATACAGTATTATCTAGCCTCATATGTAATGTTTGAAAGTATTTATCCATCAGTATATATATTTCATTGCTTGAGTTACAAATACTTGGAGTATTTTTAATATTACTTTCATGCTATACAGAAATAAACCTGAATGGTGATTTAATTATTTTCAACTTTGGGAATTTGTGGACACTGTAGTACTTTCAAAGTTGAATTCACGAGTCAATATAAGCTAGACCATCATTGAAAACCTGGAAGCACTGGACGTTGATTCATGCTAGTATAGGACTACTCAGAAGTGCACATCAACGATCTCTTACGCTGGACTTCAACCTACGACCTTCTGTCTCGCTAGAAGACTCTTAAACTCTAGACTACATAGTCTGTATCCAAAAGTGTTAATGTCTAACTTCGATCGATCCACGATCTTGCGCAACCCTTCACCCATCTTCTGAGGTGGATAACTGTCTCACATCCAACATGAATTGGACTTCACTGGTCACTGTTTCTCACTAGAGATTCAAGAAATCCATCTTGAAGCTAGCTAGCACATGATTATTATGATTGTTACCAGAATGGGGATTTGTGGAAATTGCAGTATTTCCAAAGTTTAATTCACAAGTCAGTCTAAGCTAGGCCACAATTGATGCCCACACTAGGACGAACCAACCGTCCAGTGCTTCCAGGTTTTCCATGGTGGTCCAGCTCAGATTGACTTGTGAATTCAACTTTGAAAATAAGTTATTTGACAATTGTTTCACTTTCATTTTAGGCACTTCAACGTCATACATTTATGCTTAGATAAATGGATAAAATTAGCCAATCTACTTCAACTGTGGTCAATTTAAACGTAAGTGCAATAATTTTGCAGTAAATTGCAGATGATCATTTTTAATTATTCCTGGTTTCTTAATATTTCTCCGGTTCATTTCTAAACTTGATGAAAATGATAGATAATCAGTACTTTGACACTTGACCGAACGATTGTCAACTGATGAATTAAGTTGGTAACATAAATTTTGACGACCATTAAGTTTTGCTAAATCGACTATGAAACGAATAACTGATAGTTTTAATGTGGACTCGCGTACCAATTAAATTTAAAAAGTACCCTGTTCGTTATTTTTTGAAATTTTGTGTATACACTACTGAATGGGTTGAAACCGAAGTGATTTAACTGTTCAGTCTTCTTTCCATAATTTACATTACAGACTAGTCCCAGTTAGACAACGGCTGAAAATCTGAAAGCATTGGAAAGCTACTTAATCCTAGAATAAGGCTCTTCAGAAGTGTACATTGATGACCACATTCGGCATTGAACGTGGGATAGTTGGATGTCGTGGAGAACACTTAATTTTCAGACCGCTGAGTCGACATCCAATGGTTTACGCGTCGAACTTCAATTGATTCAAAATAATTAATTTTATTTTCTCCAGTATATTAATGTAATTGATGAGAAGAAAGTATTTGTAATATCTATCTCTAGAAAATTTTATCTTTAGTTCTTCAATATAAAGCACATCTCAATCATTTGTACGTCCATATTTTCCATCGAGTTTAAAATAGAAAGTCATCTTGGAATTTTTCTCACTTAAACACAACATATACATTATGGAACTGTAAAAAATGAAACAGATTTCATTGTATTTTTCGATGTTCTCATCCATAGATACTCATGATTCGATTAGGTTTTTATGAATTGATTTATAGTAAAATTGACATTCATTATTCCATGCAAATTATACTTATACTAATCAAGATACATTCATTTCACTAGTGTGAAACAGGATTTATTATATATTACACGTGTGAAGTAAATAGAAATTGACATTTTGACAGTAAACAATAAATATGGAGAACTAGAAAATTCTATTAGTTCCCCATATCAATGTAAAATTGAAATGGTTTGGTGAAAAATTGAAATAAAAGTGGGAATATTTTTCTCATTTTTTTCATTTTATTGGTCAAAATCACAATTGGATCTGATACAAATATTGAATATGGCAGATTTAAGCTGCCTAAAATTATTATAGTGAGATTTCAAATTACTATGACGAAAGGTAATTTAATTGATATTATTATAGTTGAGATCATGAGTCGATTGAAGCTAGACCACCATGGAAAACGTGGAAGCACTGGACGGCCGTTACGTCCTATTGAGGGACTCCTCAACAGTGCACATCCACGATCTCGCCTAACGAGATTCGAACCCAGAACCTATCAGTTTCACGCGCTAGCGTTTAACCACTAGACCACTGAGCCGGCATCTAACGGTGTTAATGTTTAAATTCAACCGATCCACGAAATTACTGTAATATCCACAAAACCCCTTCTGATTATATTATTATATTTTAAAAAAACCTATCATCTGAGCATAAAGCTTATAGCTTAAGAAAGTACACAGCAACACTATAATCAATATTTAGAGGAACATAACGTATGAATAAGATATTCATTTTCTACATTAGTTTTCTATTTAAAATAAAAAATGGTAAATAATTAATCTTTAAAAATGTATGAGTATTATGAAAAAAAACGTTTGAGAGATTATAAGCAAATCTTAATAAATGACAACTCTACATCTATGTATTATGGAGAATCTGTACCCTCTACGTTGAAAGTGTGGAGAATCTGCTCTAGCATAATATTATTGAAATTTCACTTTTTTATCTACTCAAAAAAGTAGATATAATCAGTTATATCAAAGTGACTTCAACATAAAATATGCTTAAGTATAAAGAAATTATCCCAGATGAATACAAACATATTCGGTCCACAAAACCCAATCGATGCACTCATCTTTATCTAAATAAAGACGTTTGATAAATTACTAGTATTATGCATTGCTTTGCAAGATGTTGTATTACAGATATGTCTATCTAACTTTAGCATACGACGTTCTAATAATCTGTTAGAAATTATATTTCAAATTTTCATCCCTTGCATAAACTACCATTGTTGTTGTTATTATAAGTTATTACTAATTGGTGGAGAGCCCTAGACTTGAGGTCAAAAGTGGCTCGACACTAAAGGGTAGCATTACGTTTTTCGAGTTTTCGGATATCTTGCAACCAGGTATCAAATAGGTGTAGATCATTTTGGTTGTCACATCTAATAATTTAACATACAAATATAGTTACTCATTGTTGATTCAGTTAAATTAGAGGCCACAACGGAACTTAATTCATCGGGTTCGATCAACAGCAAGGAACAGGTAAGCATGATATTAATAACGGTTCAGTGGTTCATCTAGGTAACTGCATATGCCGAAAATGATGATTCCATGGATTCAACTATTAAGTATAGTAATATACTACTACCAACGTAAATCTTCTTCGTTTTCATAACAAGGTACCAGTAATCCAATCAAACTCCCTTCAATACTATGCAGTCTTAAACACTCGTTATTATATATGTGAAATCCTAGATGATCATTTATAATAATTAATAAATAAATTAATTAATAAATAAATAATAAATTAGTTAATAATAATATAAGAAGGCGCAAAAACGAATGACGGATTAATTGATAACAATTTGTGAATGTCAAGGAGTATGGTTGCAATCAATGAATCAGATGAAACCTTACAGTTGGAACAATATTAAAGTGTCATGACACCAGTGCTAAATAAACAAACATGTGTGTTGGCTCACCATAGAATAACTTTGAGCATTTTAGATTTTTATTTATAAACCTAATAATAGTAATATGTCCACAGAAAAACAGAACTTTCGAAAACTATTGCTTCTTAGTATGGAATTGAGTAGATGGTTGCACAACGTCATGAAATAATTTGAGTTGAACTTGTGCACTATATAATCTTGATTGATTCGTTTGGAGACTATACGTTTAAACACAAGACCGAACACCCCGTGGCCAACCCTTGTGAAAGAGTTATGGACTGGTGAGAAGTCTCATACAAAGAGCAAATAACTGTCCTCTGCTGCCAGGATCTCTTTTCGAGATTATGTTATGTTATAAATCTAATCTCCAGAAGCTAGGAAATAGAACAATAACTTTCGAAGTTTTTATCATCGACTGTAAACACCTGCCTCATTCGTGTTACTTTGACACTTATCCAAAAAGTATTTTGATAGTAATGTGATATTTGAGCTAAACGGAAAGTGTAGCTTTACCAGAAGTATCTATTTACATCCCGACTACTTTTGCAACTACTTTTGCTATAATAAAAAATACATGCGTAACTTGATATGAACCTGATGATAAGTAAAAATGTTCCCCATTCAGTTCAAAGTAAAATATTCGGAATGATTATTGTTTGAAATCTTGTAAATGTATCCATAACATACAAATATTTATTTATTTTGATAAATTAACTTTATTCATTCAAATGATCAGGCAAAAATGCAATGAACAATAAATTGATATATTTTGTATGACCCAACTAATGATAGATAAAATGAACAATCGTTGATTTGAACGTAGCCTTATAAATATTCATAAAGACCTTATCATTCATTTTTATATCAGATATGTCAAATATTGACATTACTTTAAACATATGGGATGTTTATTTACGTTGAACATTGAACATGAAACAAACATTAGTATCATTATAAAAAGAATATGAAAACATGAAACTTACTATTCTTGATTATGTGTATCAATTGGATCACCATTTCTTAACCATTTAATTTCAGCTTTTGGTATACCGACATAGTCTAGTTCACATGGTAACTGAATAATCATACTGGCGCTTGTTTCAATTATCACTAATTTATTATATTTCGGTGTAATTTCCAATTGACTTGTCAAACTACTCATCAAATTTGGCGGGAATTTAACCTTTGGCGGTAGATATAATTTTAATCTAGCCGTAGTTGATATAGGACTAATACGTTGATATAAATTAATTGCAGAATTTGTAGAGGAAGGGGATGATAGGACTGATGTAGTAAATTGAGAATCATCTAACATGAATTTATTCATATCAAATACACTATTACCATTGTAATCATTTAAATAAGCATGACACGTATATTCTTCGGAATAAATTCCTTTTTGATTGGTTTGTTGAAAATAATCAGAAGGTATTACACTCGGTAATATATTGCTAATAATTAATGTTCTATTGAGACCAGACGTATCAAATTTATAAATAATTTGATTATTATTGTTGTTTGAATTAGGACTGGTTGACATTTTTGTTGGGGATGAAATAACATTTGATGGGTCGATAGGCTCATGTTTACCATTCAATGTACTTTTAAACCATTGAACTCTTAGTGCATGAGCAGGTCTAAAAATTAGAAAAAATTATGATAAAAAATCAAAGTAGAATTACAGAAGATTATTCACAAAGAAAAATGATCATGTACGATAGTGGATTTCAGCTCAAATGTATTTGAATGAACTAAAAGTATTGAAGGCAACAATTTATTTAACATAATCTTAAATATAACTCCACCTGCAGCCCCTCCAGGGTTACTGCCGGTCCCAAGCCTGGTTAGCGCTAAAAAGCGCTAACCAGGAAAAATAATTTAAACCATCTAAACTCTGCCCTGGGAGTTTAAGGAAGAATTATGACGCCTCATGATGAAAGCCGAGTTCTTTCGGAAGTCACGAGGCCGATGCCTCTTCTAACAACCAGAGCAATCGTTTATCTAGGTACATGAAATGCTTGTACAATGTGGAGATCTATGCTCCAATGGGAGTAACAGGTGTAAGTAAGTAAATACGTAATCTTAAATATGAATATAATAAAATATTTTTTTGAAACTTCACATTCCTAAAACTGTATTTATTTACTAACTAACAAATAGTACATAAGGAAAAATGGATATTTCTGCATCAAATTTCAGGCAATCAAAGATACCGAATTTAATATGATCCGATAGTAAACATTTTACATATTTACTTTTTTCATCAAGCCACAAGAAGGAATGCTACTAACAACATTTTGCAAAATACACCTTAACCATAAAGCAACTACTGAATGAACGAAAGATTAAAACCAAGTCAAATGTATTTTTCTTTTGATCCACAGACGTCTATCTTATACCCATCGACAATTTCAGTCACTTAAGTTTGACTAGATTTTATATTGGGGTAGGAAACAAGTAATTGCTCAAGATGAATTCTGCATGGGTTAAACCTCTTAAAGTCACATAAGCGTTAACCATTCCTAAAAACTCAACAAGATTTCAGTTCACACACTGATTAATAAAGAAATATCATTTCTTTACACTTGATTGAAAACCAATAAAAGTAGAAGATGGTCGCGCAATATCGTGGATTGGTGGAATTTAGAAATAAACACCCCTGGATCTTGGCCCAGTGGTTTAGAGAACAGGAGTTCGCGCAACACTAAAGGTCCTGTGTCCAAACCCCGCGCGTGTGATCGTGGATGCGCATTTCTGAGTCGCAACCTAGGACTAAAAGAACGTCCAGTGCTTCCAGGTTTTCAATGTTCGTCGAACAATGGTCACCTCATGATCTCAACAATCTACACAAACCTATACTGATGTTACCTTTTCATTGGTACAATTAAAATAACAGCAAGCAAAACAGTTAAGTAAGTTTCACATTGACTGTAACTCATACGTTTGCTGATCTACTATCTAAATTATTTGTTTATTGTACTAAAACTAATTATCTTACTAAAAGCATCAACCTGTAAGACCCCTTCGACTTTCATTGTTGTGTCCGATTTACTTCAATTAAATTTATAGTAAATCTAAAAGTTATAAGTGAAATAATAATTTGAAAACATTTGTGAGATTTTTGTTGGATTTCTGTACCTGGCTGTAGTGATCAACTGTTCATTATAATACAAATTTTGAACAATTTCTTTTCGTTAATCTTCGAATAAAAAGCTTTCTTATCACATAGATTGGCAACAAATAAGACATTCTCTGACTGAACACCTTTAATTCAATGTGTTTTTTAAAAGATAGTAATTATTAAGTCTAACAGGCTAAGAACTAAGAACTTTTGCCTATTCGAAAATTGTTATCAAGAAAGTATTGAGTACACTGAAATTTTGCATCATTCTGACCAAACATTAAATATCATGATAAATGACTTACATTAGAGTTAGTTATATACAACATCCATTTGTAGAGTCCCAGTTTTAATAAATGTAACTTTACAAAATTATTTGTTATCTCAGTTTAGTACTAATATTTGAACTGTAATATTACTATCTAGGTAATTCTAAGACGTCACAGATGCATAGAACAATTCTACGATTGAAACCTAACAACCTATAGATTTTCTCTGGATTCTGTCATTATTTCTTACATACATTAAAGAATATAAAGTGAAATCTGACGTAATCTTGAGTTTTAATTCATAACCAATTTATAAAATCTCCAAGTATCAATTCAGACACCAGTTTTTATTTATTAGTAATAGTCCGATTAACATAGATAACGTGGAAATAAATAACTATAATCAGAAAGGGAGTTTTGTTGGAATTATAGTAATGTAATAGTTTAATTCATGAGTTGATTGAAGCTAGACCACCATGGAAGACTTATAAGTATTGGATGGTCGTTTCGTCCTAGTACGCGACTCCTCAGACGTCCAGGTTTTCCATGATGGTCTTACTCTAATCGACTCGTTAATTCATATATTATTAGCTTAATTATTTGTTTGACTTTAATCTTATATAGTTATCTTTTCTGTTTTTCGACATTACAAAATTATCGATTTTATTTACAGGTAATTAACATTTAACTAAATTATTATTTAATAATTATTGCTTGCTGTAATCAATTGTAATTATCTTCTAACAAAGTTTTAATGATGAATTCAATCGACAAAAAAGACTCTCGCCATTATAGAGAGAAAGTATGTTTCTGCGTGTGTGTGTGTGTGTGAGTGTGTGCGCGAGGATTAATTTTCCCATTAAATTCACTTCCAATTTAAAAGCGGAAATAAGAAAGATGTTTGCAAATTACCATAATATTCGTGTGAAAATATTTAGAAATTAAATTATAACTAAATGGTATTTGGGAGGGAAACTTTGCGTTCTTTTTGTGTGATATTACCTTTTAATGTGTCGTATTAAAAAAAAGGGATAACTGAAAGTTTATCAGACCATTTTATATTCAGTTACTGTTTTCGAAATTTTATCGATTTTATTTAAATAGAAAACTTCCAGTTTTTATTTGATATCTAACTTTAGCCAAACAATAATTGGAATTCAGAAAATATTGAACATGTGTTTCAACTTAGCATATGGTTGTTTAGTAGAGTACATCAGAGAATTCACTAAAGGTCTTCAGATCTTACAGTAATTAGTTAATCATCAAACCCCTTATTTAACATTGTTTCTAAGATATATGTATTTATTTCATAGTGAAAGATTTCAGAATGTCAATAGGTTGGAGTAAAAGAGTCGCTTAGTTTCCAAAATCAAATAAAGCTGCAATACAGAAAGTTTAGACTATAAATATTCAATTTAACCATAAGTAACTACAGTTTTTCAGTGGTCCTTGATTTAAAATTGTTATCTAGTTAATTATTAGTCTTTGCTGAGAATTATCTTCTTTTGAAATTAATTTCTTTAACTGACTCAATCTAAAACATTACTACATAACAAATTCTTAAGTTCCTATGTTTCAATATCCCTAAAGTATTTGATGCAGTATAAAACTGTATGCATCACGATCCAATAATATTTGTGCATACCCTGGTAGTGCAATGGCTTCATATTTACTTGATAATATTGAAATGATAAAGTTATGGAATTAAAACAATCAATTTGTAGAATATAACAAAAACCAAATTCAGAAAATTCACAAATATGCACCACTGTCAATGAATCCCACCCATGAGGGTTGATGTTTAAAATGAATATGATTTATCATCTTACTTTTGTCATTTTCTTGTCTCTACTTGCTAAGTTTAATCTCTTGCTATTATTAATTAGGAAATGTAATGAAACTTTTTGAAGTGTAAAATATATCAAGAATAAGTGTATTTGTCACATCATCATATAAAGGATAAATCCTTTTTTCCCACTTAAAAACCTGCTTTCTATCTTAGCGATTATTATCATTTTGCAAACTAATTAAGTTGGGTTTAATAGCAACTAATTCAAAAAAAATTATCAGCATATATATGTATATATTGTAGTAACGGCTCTCGGTTAACTCAAGGAGGTTCAAAAAGCTCTGAAAGAGTCGAAGACATTCCATCTAATCATCGTTTGGAATAACATTCCAAAATCTTGACGTGTAGCTTCCCAATTGGACAAATGCTAAAAGTCATTCCATGCAGATTGGATAACTGTAATGATTATTTCGTTTTTACTAAAAACTATAAATACCCGAATGTTTTGTATCATATATGACACTGTTTGGAATAAGATTTCTTTCCATTCATCTTCTGTCTTCTAACTTGCAACTAGGAGGGTTCAAAAGGTTCAAGTACTCAAGTTGTACTCACTATAATAAAACAATTCAAGCTCTAGATATAACATATAATATGTATACATATAATACAATTTTCATTTAATTTTAAGGAAAATTTCTTTTTAATTATATTCCAGAAGAATAATTTCTGTAATGACACTGATCCGTTAGATTTTTGTGACAGAAAAACAATAACAGAAAAAAAATATTGATTTAGAAATGTTTCTTTTTTAAAAAATTTAATTAACGTGTGAAAAGAAAAATTTGATTTGACATAAAAACGTGTTTCATGTTAAAATGTAATTGAATCAATTATCTTTATTGAAAAATATATGAAACCAAATTTTATTAAACCCTACGAAAAATATAAAAAAATGTATTTATATTGTCATTATTATCTGGGGTTGGAAGTTGTTGACATTTTAAAAAATTTTAATTAAACAGAATTGAATCTATTACTAATTAGTCTGATAATCTTGGGAACGTTTGAGTGTTAGACGGTATATTTATCAGATGTTTCAAGTTGGGAGTGTTATATCGATCGAGTGTGTGTGCGTGTCCTGTTTATATATGACGTGATATGACCGCCAAATTGGAGAGCAGTGATTTATCGATCGGAGCAATGATACACAAAATGTGTGAGCAGTCTTGAGTACTTATCAGTCCTGCTTTCTGCCTAGCCCAGCCAGTTAAGTTCAGAACACCAATAACAGCCTCTGCGATATGAATCATTATTCTCAAACATACTGGGTTTATATACCAAACAAACAGACCACATCGTACCATAAAATTAAAAAAAAGTAACATTTGTACAAGATTTGCCAAGATGTGTTTGTGAATAGGTGGGGAGCAGTAATTAATGGACTAGGGATAACTC